CTTCAATGAATGGCCTATTTTAGAACTGTTTTCATATATAGGGCGCACCGGATTATAAGGCGCATAGAATAGAACGTGTTTACAACTGAACAAGGCTGGGAGATATTGTGAATATATAAATATAAATACGTATAAAACTACGTTGTATACGTAGTGCATTCACAATAACTCAACGTTGTTCAAACGTTAATGTGCATATTCACAATATCTCCCAGCCTAGTTCAGTTGTAAACACGTAAAAGAAATACACAGTCTGATACCGCTAATTCAAACGTTAGTGCATAACTCAACATTGTTCAGTTACGTATAACACGTAAAGCTCACTTTTTCAGTTCATTCCCCGTCCACGAATCCCTCGAATTCTTCTTCTTCAGTGTCCGAATTGAACAGTTGGGCGAGTACGGCATCAAACATGCCCGGCTCCCTCTCGTCATTATCCGAGTCAGTGTCGCTGAGCGCCGTGTACAACCAGTATGGATCAACCAATTAACCAATTGATCCATATATAAGGCGCTCCGGATTATAAGGCGCACTGTCGTTTTTTGAGAAAATTAAAGGCTTTTAAGTGCGCCTTATAGTGCGGAAAATACGGTATAAGACTATTCAATTACGTGTTTTATACAACTGTCAGTGTTACAGATGGCTGTAAACAGTGCTGTATTTTCAAAACAGACACCTATTTAGATTTTCATTAAAAATTGCAAAAAATAAATACTTTGCAAACTCAAAATGAGGCTCATCTTGGAAATTTCTGGATAACTAAGTTATTAGACAAAAATCCACAGAGCATATCACAACCTTTTCTGGGCTTCACTGGGCCACAAGACTTTGGATTTCAATCATAACATGACTGAATCTGATTGAAAAAGGCCCAGCGAAACCATATCATTTGCCAAATGCACTGAAGTAATAACTGAACAATTGTGTAACTCAACCTACCACTCTGGTCGTCCAATAGGTAGTATTGCTTTAGCAGCTGCCAGTGCACCAGCAGGCTCTTGGGGCTGCGAGACGGGTGAAAGACACAGGGGTGTTTGCTCAGAAGCTCCTGGAACACATCCAGTTTGGGCTGACTGGTCTGTTCAATGACAACGTAACACAAAAAGCACTTGTGAATAAAACAGTTAAAGTTGTACATTTTAGAACTATACTAGAACAAACTAAACTAAACCAGAGATGTGACTAGCAAAATTCATTTCACCACTCCTGCAGAGCGTTAGTGTTGCTACTTGCAACACAAACGCAAGAGGGAGAGAGAGGGGAGATTGTCTGCTACTTCATCAATTTATGATACAGATCGGCAAGTAAACTCAGGCAGTCGTAAATATAACAATATAAGTCACTAATAAAGCCTTTGTGTGGGTAACACTGTCATTCACTATTTAAGTTCAAAACTACGGGTCGGAAAAAACAAAATTCTGCATAAACCCGTGAGAATCCCATCTCTGAAAAAATCTCACTTACAGAACCAATCTTAGCGAGCAGCGCCTCCTCAGCTTGGCTGAAGAGAGCTTTGCTTTGGATTGCTGCAATGGCTTCCGGGTGAAGCTGACGCATGGCCTGCCATGCCAACCTAGACAGAGAGACAACAGAGAGGATTTAATTACCTTTTTAACAACTAGCTGATGCACAGACATGGTAGGAAAAGTCAGCTGCTGCTGGGTAAGTTTCTTACTTTGAGATGACAGGGTCGTAGAGGAGAGAATACCACCTCTCTTTGATTTCCCGTAATGTGAAACGACAGCTGAACTTGACTCCCAGATGAACAGAGGTTAGGTCTGTGGTCTGGAGACAAACACAGACTAATTTAATCATACAGTTACCGTGTCACAAAGACAAATCAGTACCATTAACTGTTAAATGATACATCCTTTCAGGCAATAATTAAAGCAATTTACTACTCACCTGCAACACTGCATTTATTAGTAGCAGGTCATCAGTGGGTTTCCATCGTCCCAGGTCTTTAGTTATATGAAGGGGTTGCTTGCTCTTCTTTACTCTTTTAGTGATTGGTGCAGGGTTCATTACCATAGTGAGAGGTGGTGTGAGAGCTGTTCCTGACTTAGTCACCTTACAGATTTGCATGAAAGTACAAAAAATATCCAAACTCATGTTAATGTATCATGTTTACAATGAAATCCTATCAACACAATTTGTGGATATGTTTTACCTTTTTTTTCTCGCTGGATGAAGGTTCACTCCCTGAACAGCGGACAGGCTCTATGACAGGAGGGCCTTTGACTCGACTGGACGACTTCACAAGACTGCTTTCAACGAGCTCATCGTCAAACTTCTTCCTCTTTATTGACCTATGATCATTTCAGTGTAGAAATGCAAACCACAGTTTTTAAAAATGTGGTTATATACAACCTAATTTTTGCAATATTAGAAACCACACATTTATGTTTAAAAGCACAACATAAGTCAAACCTTGAGGAACTCCTGCGCTTGGGAACCCCACTGCCAAATGCCTGAGTTGCTGTCCTTTTTACATCTTTCACTCCAAGTGGCTCTTCATCCTCTGACCGGCTCTGGGCACCAGCTACTGCCATCGGTGCACCAACAACAGGGTCACCAGCTTGCATCTGTAGAGTCACAGAATGAAACACATCACAGAAAAATGTATCTTTCTCATCTTTAACATAACAGCAGACTGTAAAGTTTTAACAGTTTTGAGGTTAGTAGAAAGTCTGAGAGATGTAGTGCTTCTTCCTTTGACAGGCACTTTTATTGGGTCCTAGTTCACTCAACAAATAAACTATGAATATTTTGAGCTGCTGTTCCACTTGTCATTTTTACACAGCAAACAAAAACAGCAACAATGAAGTTATAACCATGTAACTATATCAACCTCGGGGGGCTGAGGACTGGATCAATTAAGAGATGTCTTTGTTTACATGTTGTGTAAGCCAAATTACTTCATGTCCTCGTCAAAATAGAATAGCAACTGTGAAATTAATAGCCGTAGCAAGTAACACAATAAACACAGACAACATTTTTAACAACAGTCTGTTTTGTTTACTAACCTAATTTGATCAAAATAACGCTTCTGTACTGGCTACTTAGCATTAGCTTAGCTGTCACAGCGTCCCTTCGAGCGCTAGCGTTAGTTAACTAGCGAGCTAATACAAAAAGCTACATCGTCTTATGACTCACCTTTCCTCGCTGTTTTACTTCGTTTCTGTATCTATTCCTCCTACTGGTGTATGTGTCGTCAATTTACTCCTTTTTTTAACACTTCGTTGCCTAGCTACATGGCTAACAGGCTACATGAATGTGTGTTTGTTGGCATTATGTGCTATGCTATCACTGCTATGCTATGTGTGTTTTCTTCCTGCTAGGTTTGAGCGCGCTTGGGAAGCAGCATGACGGCGCGTTACTGCCCCCTGCTGGAGCGGAGTGCAGGCGCTGTTTTCTGTCTTCTCTCTCTTTTTTGTTTACCATTCAGATACACGAATTAAGGAACAATTCCAACAGTTCACATTATGGCTGGCAAAAACAAAACACACAAACACAAAAAGTACAAACAGACTAATGTGTGAGAGTCTCATCTAACACAAACCAATCCAGTAAGGCAGCCGGTGGGTTTTAGTTATTCATTTTGAAGAGATTTCGCAAAAAGCTTGAGTTCATTCTTCCATCCATTGATGTGGGGTTTGATTTTTAAATATTTAGGCTACATCTAGCTAGCTTGTGAATTAAATGTTTTCATATCAAAATCAAATTATTAATCAATGAATAAACTCAGTTTTTCTTCTCAATAAAGACTCCAAAAGAACCTTGAGAAGGGTGCAAAAGGATTTCGTTGGAGCTCTGAAATAGGAAAAAAAAAAACTCAATATCCCTCTCACAAAATCCAACACAAGTTATCATTCAAGTTAAATCTCATAGTAGTTAGTAAAGTAATTGGATGGATAGATGTCCTTGACAATTTAGACGGTTAGCCTAGGCAACTTTATAGCTTTTGGCAAGACTGGGAAGAAATATAGAAAACGTTGTCATATTTTCATAGCTTCTTCGTTAGTTTAATCTTGCGGGACATATTTTCTTCTTGTTTGATTAGGGTAATACTGTAGGCCTACTGTTGGACTATTTCTGATGAACTTGTTTGAGAACTGTTTGCCCCTGAAGTTGACACCTTTAATTCTTAATGGCCTCATTTCAAATACAATATTTGAATGCACTGAGATATGTGTACTCATTATCTTAAATGGAAATAGCATGGTTCTTTCACTTTCTTATATTCTCCAATTGGGAATTGAAAACACATTTTTTTTACAAAATGTTTCATCCATTAAATTGGATACAGCTCATATTCCTATAACAAGGACTTTCGATTGCTCAGGATATACCTGTTGTTCAACAGAGGAGTATTGTGTGGAATAAAGTTATGTTGAGGTTCCAATGGAGGAGCACTTGCTGGTGAAAATTGGAGAGTTTTACAGGTAATTTGTGGCAGAGGCATTAATAAGGGTTTGAATTTGAATTTGAATTAAAGGATTGTAATTTGAATTGTAGATTTTAGACCTAATGTTACACCATGAAAGAGCATAAAGTCAAGAGCTCTTTTTTTATTAAGGGATCTGAAGTTTAAGGTGAAACATCATTATTTCCCCTGATGTAGATGTGATGTGCACAGCAATGGAGTTTTTTTTTTCTCCAAACTATTGACCTTCAGATGTTGCTCTGTAAGAGTCCATAAGGTCATGTCACACGGGAACTGTGCAGTGAGTATTTCTTTGAAATACTGCCTAAGTACCTTGTGTCTTTGCAATTGCATCAGACCTACAACTGTTACAAGCATGTTTGATCAGTAAAACCTAATCTGAAGCAGACGATAGCATGCAATCTTTAAGTAAATAGAGAATTGTGAAAGAGGGGATCTCATTTTTTAAACATACATGTGGGCTTCACATTAACACATCAAAAGTGGGACATTATTCGATTTTAACCAGATTGTTTTTTGGCTAGGAAAAGAAAATCACTTCGGCAGGAAAAAGTTTAACTTGAACATTTTAATAACATTTACAGTAACAATTTCAAAATATGTTAAATTATAATAAATACAAAGCTCAGGTACTGAAGCTTTTTACATTTAAAAATCTGGGTAATAGCACTACAGTAGGTTTACAAACTTGCATTGGGCTGCACTGTTGAATTGTTGCATACATTTTCAGGACAAACAGACAGATCGGGATTTTAAATGCATTCCCACACAGGAATAATTTCAAGAGCTGCCTTTTATAAAGAGACAATCAGTAAACATAACTTCACCATAAGCAACTCAAAAAAAGACCTTGATCACTAAATTGAACACGATACAAATCTCTAACAGTGGCTCAGTATGAGCTGGAGATATTAGAAACTGTATGCCCATGTTCCAGCCTAAGATTCTCCTAATTCTCTGATTTATTTACTTAAAGATAAATGTCATGTGCATCTTAGGATACTAGGAGAACATTTACAGAAATGCTCTTCAAATGAAATATTTGTACGTACAGGACACACAGGAAATTGCTGAAATTGCTGAGTTAAGAGTGCAGAAGATCACAGTTTCTAATCTGGTTAAGGGGGAGGGGCTTTCCAGATTCAGAAAAACATGAGCTTCAATTGAGTTTACAAATATCATACAATTCAACATTTCGAGAGTAAAATTATTTTTAAGATTGTCTGTTGAAAAGTACTGAGGAATTTCACTGGTTTGCTCCAGTCTTCTAGTGCAAATAAGTGCATGATGGTGAGTTTATAAGAAAAAAAAACACAATTAAAGGTTGAGAAACACCACTCCCAGTGGAAAGCCTCAGTGCTGAGTTGCCATAGCCCCCTTTTTTTCTTTTTCTTTTTTACCAATTTGTCATTCTCCACATATCAGCCTTGGCATGCTGGGTGACACACACACAGCATTTTTGGCCCCCAACAGTGTGAAAGGTTGAAGGTGTGCTCTTGAACTTGATCCGCTGCCTGCAAACAGCTGCACTGTGTCTATGATAACTCCGCCTGCTGGTGCTCCCTGCGGCAGAGAGGCTCACGTTCTCGTAACAGAAGAATAGGTCATCGATCAATAAACTGGAGGCTAATGACATTTTCAGGAACTAGAAGCGTCCGTGTCATGGGCTTCACGGAAATCCCCTTAGGGTCTGGCTTCACGTCGAACTCTAAGAGGATCTGATGTAACAAGAAACAGAGAAAAAAAAAAGATTAATACTGCAAGAATCAGAATCAGAAAAACTTTATTAATCCCAGAGGAAATAGGACAAAATAAAGTGTTCTTCAGGTGCTAAGTGCAGAGAAGTGACTCTTTACTGAAATCCCTGATTCAAATAACTGGATTTGCACAACAGCTTAAATAAATCCCCCTTCCTTTAGTTTCTTTCATTATTCCAGGAGGAAATGAAGAAAAGTGATTTGTGGGAAAAGCTGATAAAGTGGATTTGCTGGTAAACAATCAAAACAATGAGTTACATAATTAAAATAAGATATTTATATTGTGCATTTAGGGCCTTCTTCCTTGGATCACCAAACCGCTGACTCAGCCATGAATACAACCCCACTTTCCAGTCACTTATCCCAGCCACAAACGAGTTGATATGTATACTAAAGTTTAAAGAAACGGTTCAAATCCAGCTTACTCACCCTGGTAAGAGCGAGGTAGAGCTCCAGCTCAGCGATACGTCGACCTATGCAGCTGCGTTTTCCCACCCCAAACGGCAAAGAGGCATATGGGTGATAGGTCGGGTCCTTGCTCAGCCATCGGTGAGGCTGGAACTTATCCGGATTTTGAAACACTGCCGGATCCCGTGATGTGGCATATTGGCAAAGGGTGATCAGAGTCTGCACAGAGATTTAAACCATCAGATAGAGTATGTGATGCATTTCTAAGAGATAAAACTAAAGCATATCTTTCTTTTCTTTTTTTTTGTTTAATTTTGGGCCTGAATGTCTCTATTGATAGGAAATTGGATTGAGTAGGAGACGGGAATGAGGGAGTGGGAAATGACATGGATCCACAGGTTGGAGTTGAACCCGGGTCGTCCGCTTGTAGGACGATAGCTCACATATACTGTAAATGGGGCGTGTGAAACAACCGCTAGGCTATCCTGCGCCCCATAACATTCAGATTTAGCCTAGTACTGTGCTGCCTTTATCTAGTGTGACACCGTATCAAAGATTTTAAGTTGGTCTAGTTTTATCAAAACACTCACATTTTTAGGTATTTGGTATCCTCCAATCGTGATGTCTTTGTTTGCGATGACTCTTGCATTGGCAGGAATGACAGGGTACAGCCTGAAAAACACAAGTTAAACAATGTTAGTCCAATTAAACCTGCAGATTCAAAACTAGATGAGTCAGTAAACAAGTAAACAGACACAGTAAAGAGTCTTATACCTGAGAACTTCTTTCACTATGGCCTTAAGGAGAGGCATGCGGGCCACATCTGCTGCAACGGGTATTCTTCGACCTCCCATCACGCTCAACACCTCGTCCCGTAGTGAGGCCTGCACCTCAGAGTGACGCGACAGCTCATACAGCGACCAGGACAGGGTGCTGGAGATCTGGAAAGGCAAATTTACAAATAAATGGACACATCACGATTGATAAATCTGAAGGATTGACGACAGATCCTTGTAAAAAAAAAAAAAAAAAGGGACAGAAAAATCTAGGCTGATGGTTACCGTGTCAACCCCTGCCAGGAGCAGCTCTGTGATGTTGCTGTAGACGGTCTTCATGGGCACCCCAGTCTGAGACAAATAGTAGGTGAGGTAACGTCCCTCCACCTTCTCCCCGCAGCTGACCTTCTCTGCTTCAGCCTGCAGACGCTGGTCGATGTGACCTTTAGCTGGTGGAACAGAGATATGAGGCTGTTAACACAGCGAGCTTACAGAACAAAGATGCTTCAGTCCAGTCCTGAGCTAGTGTATCTCCATATGGTTAGACATCAAATTATCCATCTTATTAGGTGTTTTTAACCATGCATTCATTTCCTGATGATAAGAAAATAGACTTCCTTTACACACTTCTGATTTCTGATTCCCTAATTGGGTTAAAAAACATTTTACTTTTAGTCTGATTTTAACCTCAGTTTAATCATCATGACTTCTTGCTTGCAGATGATTTTGTATTGCTTGAGGGTTAAAGACCTTAATCTCCTGCTTCCTGTTCTAGTTTGCACCAGTGTGATTATTTTAAACATGTTCTATATAAACGTCTCAGATCAGGATAAGTCTTAATGTACTGCCAGAGTGAGTGGGCGATAAACCAGTGTTGATTTAAAACCAAAAGGTCAAATCAGTACAGGCTGATTAAAAATAATCACATGAAGTATGGAAGGCATACATTATGTACAACCTCCATGTTTTTTTTGCTAGCTTGAACTACATCTCCAGCTTGAGTATAGAATGATGCTTCCTTATTAATATCCATGTAAGTCTTTGCAAAAAATATCTTTTGTTCCGTCTTTACAGATTTTTATTGTTTCTCCCGTTATCTTCGTGTTTTTCTACTTTTCAAAATAATACCTATCAAATACGATGTTTGAGAAAATGATCACTGTCAGATTACTAGGAAGGCACGATCTTTCAAACATTTTTGACACCAAGAAATGTGACGTACCAAAGTCAAACAAGTAGTCCCAGCACTGACAAAAGACTTTCAAGGGTTTTGGAAACAGATGGTGCAACCAGCTGGGCATGGCCATAGTGAGAAGCGTCTTCACAAACATGGTGTTAATTGACTGGATAAAACGCTCTGTCTCTTCAGGAACGACCTCATCCAGGCAACCAATTCTGGATTCAAACAACACTGAGGAGATACCTGTCAGAATAAAAAGAAATGTGGTGGTGAGAAACACATGGCATAGAGGTTGACAGAAAAACAACGACTTTGCTTTGAATGTTAAAGGCCAATTAACTGGGTGGAAGAAATGAAATAACTGGCAACTTGTAAAATGTCTCTCACTGCCATTTACCTGTATTATAAAAAGTACTAAACGCTTTGCATATACGATACATTATGTAATATGTAGAGCTGGTCCTTGCAAGATTGAGTGTTTTTAAATCATAGGTTCAGTTGAGTGTGTTTATTGGCAATATATACATCAAAGTCAGCAGGGCAGTCACAGCCCAGCCTCGACTCAACAATACCATCTTTTTAACTGTGGTAGAGTTTCTGTTAAAAAAAAACGCTGCTGTGACCAAACAGTCACTGGATTGAAACTGTGTTTAGTCTGGGGAAATATAGAAAATGAATGAATGAACCCCTCTCTCTCTCTCTTCCAACAAGAACAGCTGTTCAGGAATAGTTGCTATATATGTTTTTAATTTTAATTATGGAATGCACCTCTTCAAATAGTTTGTCTTTGAAGGGGTTTTGTAAAATGAAGTATGTAATAAATTACATGGATGAAATGTGAAAATAAGAAAGTTTTTTGATTCATGAAAACTGTAAACCATTAAGGAAAGTACAGAACAGAACATTTTTAACAATATTTCCCTGCTAAAAGACTTGTAGATTAAGTTAATTCATTAAAAAATGAATTGTTTATTGACCACTTAAAGAGGACTATTTCATCTATTTATTGATTACTATTTGTTCACTATTCCAACTAATCATTAGCCTACTTCAAACTAATTATTTTACCTGTTTATACTCTACTGTTACCTGACTCTTTCAGCTGAGCCGACACGTTTAGCTAACTATATAAACTGTTTCATATTCATTTAGAGAATTATTCCAACTTACTTAAATCTTAGAGCAAAACTTTTTTAACTGTGTATTCTTCAATTCTGGACTTAGCCAATAGTTTTATCTAACTGTTTCAGATGTTTAATCGTTCTTTAAAGCGAAATAGTTCAGCTATTAATTCTGCATGTTAAGCAAACAATTTTGTCCGCTTATACAGGTTTAACATTTTTGCCTTGAATTCTAACCATTCATTAAAACAAACTCCAACTTTTGAAAATGTCAGTTATTTTGCCTATTTGATCAAAACTTTTAGTTAACTTTTTGAACAATTCTTCCATCACTTAATATTTCATCACTTTTAGGCAGGTCTGTTTCATTATTCATCTGCTAGCACTGACAGTCATGTTATGTTTAAAATGACACGGTCATTGCATTGCCTCCTGCATGGGACATTGTGAGGTACATGCATGTGGTGATGCATGACCCTTCTGATCCTCAGACTACATATGAAACCTTACCCTCCAGGCCGAAGCGGTAGAACTCTTGAGATATGTCAGGGACGAGGCCTTGAGAAGTCCTGCTAAGCCGGAGTTTGGTGATGAGGTCACTGACCACGCTGTTCAGAGTCTTGTCGTACGCCTCGACAGCCTTCGGCGGCAGCATGTGCTTTCCCAAGAGACTTCTCACTGTCTGCCACTCCTGTCCCTCACTAGCCACATGCACAAGAGAAAAAAAATGTAAATATTTGTGTTAGAGTGATATCAGTTGTACTGATTCAAGGATTTATACTTAACTTTGGTCAATCGGCAAACAACTTGAGACTTTAAATGATTTACCTGCCAATTGTTTACAACTGGCAGGTAAATAATGAAGTCCTTTAACACTTCTCAGGAATTACACTTTGTGAAATCTAAGACTGTAGTTGTACAGTTCCCTCTTGTATGTTAAGAGGAAGAGAGAGTACAAAATACGAAACGAAGAAATGCTGTGATAGCAGAAAGACACTCACGACGTCAGGAGTCCATAGTGGTGTCCTCGGACCTTCCTGTAGTCCTTCCAGGAGGAGAGTTCAGAACGCATTGGGTGGTGGCCCTCCTGCCTCAGGACCTGCTCTATGAGTTCTGGATCGGCAACATGAACTGTCAGGATGTGGCCAAAGCGCGCCTTCCACATGGATCCATACTTTTGCAATCCTTCCAGCTGGGACATAAAAGAAACAACATTAACCTCAAGGGAAAAAAAAAAACCTTCACACTATAGAGGACTGTCATCATGTCTGGATGCACACTGCTTAAAATGAAGACATTGATAGACAGAAACCTGGAGGAGAACCAGACTCATCTGCTGGGCAGAGAAAGTGGGCTAGAGCAGGAAACTAATAATTAGAGAGTATTTCATTTTAAAGTAATCTATAAAGTCAGAACTGTTCTAACTTATTATAACTTTATAAAAAAGTTTTTTTTTCTGCAGCCACCAGTTATCAATTAGGCCTATGTTATCAGTAGCCTAATGCAGTGGTTCTCAAACTTTACCCTGACATGACCCCTATATAGCATTAACCTCAGCATTAACCCCCCCCCCAACATTTCTTAAATTCCTTGAACTAACACTGTTGTTCTTTTTTACTGAAAGATTGTCATAAAAATGTATGTATATTTAAATATGCATTAATAACATCAAAAAAGAAACCTTACTATTGTATTGTCACAGATACTGTGATACGGTTTTTATTCTTATTGCTCCATTTAAGTTTTCACGTTTTTTGGCACTCTCTGGCGACCACCCAGGGGTTCTGGACCCCCACTTTGAAAAACACTGGCCTAATGTATTCACTTGGTCCTTTTAAAAAACTCCAGAGCATCAATATTTTATTGCTCGTATATTCGATGCACATATATTATGCAAAATATATGTATCATATCAAGGTGTTTTGAAGTCTCGTTCATGTCTACCTGTAGCTCGTGCAGCCGTGACAACCCCCTTTTGGCGAACAGGTCCCAGGCGCAGCTGACGACCGATGGTCCGGGCATCTCGTCCAGCGTCCTCACCGTCTGCCCCTTGGTTTTGCCCCCCTCAGCGGCTGTTGTGCTCTCAGCCCACCTCTCCATCCACTTGACTAGGGGGAAGGCGCTTCGGCCGGACACTCTGAGAGCTTGCTGCAGCATCCTCCTCGCAGTGATGAGTATGGAGCTCTGAACGATCCGTTCTCATTTCGCTGTCCCGGGCTGGAGGCTGTATTTATAATGCACACGACCTGCTTCTCGAACCAGTGGAGATAAAGCATACATTTTCTTATCCTGGGCCAATCATGGATGTTAATACAGATCAGGCCCCTCCCCCCCCCCATGGATCGGGACTGAGTAGGCTACAGAGTAAGGTGTGTCCAATCAGAGTGCAGATTTTAGACCATCCCAGCCAGCCGGTACACGTGGAGATCCTGAATAAATAATAGCCTATATAACTTTTCTTCTGCTCTCTTGGGCTTATCTGTGCTCTTTGTGCAGCACTTTGCTCTCTGATAGCGCTGCAGACTGTTTAGAGCGATCACGCACTTGTGGAAATGGTTTCTTGTGTGCTCAAAGGATCACTTACCCCCAAGCCCAATGTTATTATAGATCTCTTGAATGTAGGCCAGTCAAAACCCCAATCAGACTGCTGAATAAACAACCAAAAAGTACCACAAATGACCATTTAGACAAAAAAACATAAACAGCCTCATTATGATGGAATCGTTTTTCGGGGGCCTGTATTAACAGAGACAGTGGAACATTATTTCAACCTGGAGAAATCGAGGACGACAGTCAGAGTCTTTGTCAGACTTACTGGTTCTTTGTTTACCCACCAGTTCTTTTGCTGACTGAGTAGGTTTCCTGGTGAGGGAGAAAATCCTGACCTGATTTCATTTGAAGTGGAATTTGTCCAAAGCACCATGTGTTTGGACTATGAAGTAACAGCCCTGGGCCGTACTCAGAACCTGCTCTGACATTTATTCCTGTATTTTATACACTTACTCGAAATATTAGATCACCAAGATTCAGAGAAACACAGATAATTGACAGACAAACTAATCTGTAAAATACTGAAGCCTGATGGTAGAGTGAGTTTGACCTGCAGCTTTGAATTTACACTTCAATCATTGTTATAATTCTGAAAACTAATACAAGAAATAAGTTTAACTTAATTAATTCTAGATGGAATATATGACAGATAAACAAAACCAGAGGAAGTCTTATAGGAAAATTATCTTTTAAAATCAACACAGAGACCCAGAGACCTGGGAGCCTGAGGTATATGAGAGTAAAAAAGTGTGTCGTGTTGGTAGGATGTTTGAGTGTGGATGTGTGTGAATATTTTGATTGGCTCTCTGGTGGTGCAGGCTTTGTGAGGGGGGATGGGTGAGATGGGTGGAGAGAGAAACAAAAGAAAGAGGAAAAAAGAAAACTGTAAAAATCATCCAAGACCATCATCATCACCATATAAGTAACATGATATCAATAACAGTGATTAATTGTTGCATTGCAATTACAGCAAAGGCAGGGGGAGTGCTGTCACCTAATGACACCTCATACAGAACCCAGGCACATACAGCTCCTCAGTATGGTCACTACAGCAATGTCAGATACCACTTCCTGTTGGCTTTAAACTGTAGTTTTACATTCATCGTTGAGGGTAAACCTCTAAAAATATATCGGGCAAGTGTCACTATAAATCACAAGTTATGATAAGAATAGAAATTAATAACAGGTCTGTAACCAGATACCAATGCCTACAGTAGCAGGTATTGTCAGGCAATGGTGTAGTAGTGCCTAAAAAAGTGGATATCATCTTCATTTTTCACCAAAATGTTTTTTTAAAGTGGTCCGTGCAGCAGAGGATAAACAGCCTCTGTTATAAACAGTGTCATATAAGACTACTCCAACATATTTAGTGTGTGTGTGCTAGCAAATTGGAGTAGGGAGAGTCATCCCTTCACCATCAGGGAACATTTTTTGCAGCATACTAGTATTGTCAATCAATCAATGGTGTAAATCAGAGGAGATTTAGAAGTGGGTTTACCCTATGGAGACTGAAAAATAAGTGGGTATAGGTATACCTGCGTATACCCTGCACTACACCACTGCTGTCAGAAGAAGGGGGGAGTAGGTTGCAGGTGTGGACACAGGAGCGTCTTAAAACTATCCAAGAAGGATAACCAAAAAAATTGCAAGCAATAGATTGGGGAGGTGAAAAGCAAAGAAATGATATAGAGCCAAAACAAGTTTCCTTAAATAAATAATGCACCATAAAGATGAACTTAGCTACTGCTGCCAAGCAACTGACTTAAAATTAAATTGTCCAGGAGACCTAGACCTAGAAAACACTTAACAAAAAGCAAAGATTGCCAGGGAGGACTTAACAGTGAACCCAAAAGGCTGGATTAGCAACACAACTTCCCAGCATCCCAATTTATATTTAGAGACTGGCAATGGAGAACAAATAATCAGATGTTCCCTTAGTGCCCTTACAGGTACAGAAAGGTGCAGCCTGGAGGGGAAAGAAATATGAGTTGGCGCCTGCAGCTTAAAACAATTTCTTGAAGAAAAAAAAATACATTGTTGTTTTTTTCTATATTCGTATATTCGTGTGAAAAAGATTTGATCATAATATCATGATCATTATGACAAGCCTAATGCTGGGTCAAAGGATCACTCCTGAAATGATTCAAGACATTTTGATTTGAAGGAGCTAGTGGGTGGGATATGGTGAAGAAGATTTAAACCTCATGTTTTTGGGGCATGGTTTTATTTTCTGAGTCAGGCTTGGTGTGGGAAGAGGATTCAGGTGCCTAGTGGTTATGTCACGCTCCGAAAGTACGGAGGCTGCAGTCCGTGTCGCAGTGGCCACTGGTTTGAATCTGACCTTCAGTGCAGTCCTTTGCTGCATGTTATCCCCAACGCTCTCCTCCCAACAATTCCTCTCTTCAGCTGTCTTATCCATTGAAGGGGAAAAATTTCTCAAAAAAAAAAGAAAGAAAGTAAAACAGGTACAATCTTGTTTCAACCCAGCCTTACAGCGCTCTTGATGCAGACTAACACAGAGGTCTGAAAACTGAAATATAAAACTGACACAATATGACTAACGTGAAAAGCAGTGTTAAGACTGTGACATAACTAAACCAGGTAAGGTTGCACAGAGATGATCCTACCAAAATAAATCATACAGATCACACTCACCTTCAGTGGTCTTCTTATATAACCCTACACCCTAGAGGGTTATATTGGGAGAGTTATAAAACGCCTTAGCAATCACTACATATGAACTCATCATATTTGACCAGGACATGTGATTCAGACTTGTGCTTCAAATAAGAAAAATGATGACGTGATGCTGAGTTATGAGGATTAAAGAGCAGCATGGAGCGAAGATCAATCCTGGTCGGTCAGAAAACGTCCATACACGAGAGTACAAGTACACATACAAGTACACGCGAAGTGGAAGATGGAGAGTTATCTTCAAGGGTGAGATAAACACTGACCTCTGAAATTTACATCAACACATAAACAACTTTTAAACAAGGTCACCTGTGTCTTGATAAGTCTGACTCAATACACCGCAAACAAATCAAGGCAAATTGCTTTTGCAAAATGCTGATGGAATCTTTTTTTCCCCGACATCTGTCTTTTCAGAATTGCACATTTATCTGGCATGGTAATCTAAAATATGTCAATCAGATTTTCTTGTCTTGTTCGTCTTTGTTTTCTTAAGAAATATGCAAATATTTTCACATTTTCCTCTGGCACGGTGGCTCAGATGCTCATGTTTAGGCTCTTGTTAGGCAGGCTGACGACCACACAAGAAGCTGACACAAATTGAACTCCTTCTTTAAATTAATCTTGCCTTTCCTGAGTAACGAGGGATTAATATTGATTATGAAAAAAAAAGGTAATAAGAAATCCTAAGAAAGAATGACTTCTTTGTGCTGCTGTGTCGGAGTGTGAACTGATGTGGCCCAGTTGTAGATCATGCTATACAATGAAGCAGAATAGCCTGAGAGGTATTTCCCCCTTTGTGTATTGGCCCAGTGCCCAGAGGCAGCCATATTCCCAGACTAGTGTGTTAAAGTTCATGGCTTCAGTCTGCCGGTCTGGGTGGTATCAACATGCCTTTACATATACTACACACAAACACACACACACACACACACACACACACACACACACACACACACACACACACACACACACACACACACACACACACACACACACACACACACACACACACACACACACACACACACACACACACACACACACACACACACACACACACACACACACACACACACACACACACAGAGGTGCAGATGAATGAGTGAGTGTGTTTTCCCTCACTCAGCAGGCTGGAGAGGATGGTTTAGTTTTGGCTTTCTATGGTGATTGGATGACTGTGTTACATGGTCAACCATATTTGCATCAAGTCATCTTTCTGCTTACTGTATATCCTTGCTGTTCTTATTTTGGAGAATTTATTAAATGCATTGAACATTAAAACAATTTCCCCCTAACACTGAATTGTTTTCTTTTCTGTTTCTGTAGCTTTGGTAAAGTTTTTTTACATTACTACCTCCAAATGAATCTTAATATTGACAAAGGCACACATACGTACCTATTTGAAGTTCCTTTTAACTTACAATATCTTAACTTTTTCGACATTATTTTATGTTCAAATACTTCACTCTAGCTTCACTCTTTCAACAGTTTATCCAACGCTTTTAACTATTCATTTAAACATGTATGGGAAATCTATTTAGACCTCAGTGTTGCAGCAATGAACCTATTTGGTTGTTCCCTGACATAAATATGAGTAGCCTGTACAAAAAATCAAGAGTTTTCACCAAATAATAGTTCCGTTCTCTCGGGTAACAATCTGCATTTTAGAATTACTGCATTAAGCACACTCAAAGTGTTACAACTATGTCTGTAACTTGGGTTGGTGAGACTGGCTCAGGGTACTCTATTACTAGTAGCGTATTTTCTGAGCCGGCTACTTACAATGAGTGAGTGAGTATGAGCAGTGTTCATAGTTCAACATACCACTTAGACACATTCATGATGCTTTAGATGTATCCAGATACACTACACAAACAAACAAAAGAGTTGAGGTGCGCACTGTGTTACTAAAAACACTGGCCAAAAGCCCAACAGCTGCTTGTGAGCACACAGGATATGAGAATGTGGTCATGAAGAAAAAAATAGAGCAATTAAATTACTTAATAATGATTTTTATTGCCGTACACGGTAATTGAGTGAGACTGCAGAAAACACTTTCATGTTAATAACGTAAAAAGTGTTTAAGGTGTGGTAAATGGCACGTGATAAATTAAGAGCACATCTGGACACCAAATGTTCAAATGTTTTCATTATAGGTGTATATGATGTGTGTCCACCACTATGACAGCATTCAAAGAGTGGCTGTCTTTGTTCATGGGATGTCTACAACTGGTGCAGGCCTAATGTAGTATATACATTGACTGATGAAACACACAATTTAATTATCATTGTTCAATCACAGTCTTGTTTACGTTTTGCAGATGTGGCCCTGCAAGTTTAGGTACAAGTGGCTGACCTTTATATTGGTATAAAAGCCTGACGGCAGAATCTTTGCTGTTTTTCTTTATCATACGTGTCTCTTTGCTTTAGATATTTTCCTTCTGAAGTTTGTTTTCAGTCTGCAGTCTTATCTCTAGTACTGGCTTCTTAACAACAGGAGACTCTCGTGTAGAATTTCCTTTCAACAAGTTTGATAGTTATGACTGCAACTGTTTTTTATTGACAAAATATATCAGAAGTAAGAATTAACACTGACTTAATATAAAGGAATGACAATCATATATTGTTTTCTGTGAGGAAACGTAACAAGTACTGCTCTCACTTTACTTATTGACTCTATTATCATGAGGACAAAGTTCAGATTCAGACTAACCTATAAGCCATCTTGCAGCAGTCTAGACATCACAGGTAAATACTTGGCACTGTCATAGCTTGGTCATCTGATGTAAGCTGGTTTGAATAATGTTCAGTCGTGATGTCATAAGAAACAGGTGTAAACAGTTAGTGAGCTGCAGCTGCTAAACACTGAAACATCATTTCTGGAGTCCATCAGCAGCAATGCTTACTCGAAGCTTGGAAGAATCTTATTTCCTGTTAATCATTTACTTGTGTCAGCGGGACAAAAAAAAGACAACCAATACAGAAAACTGTAGTGTTTAGTATGACCCCACTAACAATCATTTTAATATACTAGAAATTATTTCTTCAAAGGGTGTGGTTTGCCACCTGGCTATTAGAAGTTTGAGATAGCCACAAGGCAAATAAAAGAAAATAAATTTGATCAGGGACAAAAAAGTGATTGAAGATGGTTTTTGACCCTGATGAAGGCCACAAGTTGAAACACGTCCGTCTAATTTGTTAATAAAGTTGATCTTCATACTACAAGTGTTGCTGGAGCTTTTTGACTTATCCAAGCCTCTCACTCTTCATGCACATCGGTAGTTGGTGAAGTTGTGCCAGGAAATCCTACTCTGCTTCTTCAGGGAGATGTTTTTTTTGGAAAGATGGGTCAGCACTTTTTGACTGAATGAGTATAAAAAAGCTCTTCAGTTTTGCCTCCAGTAGAAAGTAATTTCAGCCAGAGTGGAGCCAGCAGGTTTTTGATGATGGTTTGTGGTTGAGGAGCTTTTTTAAAACAGACTCTAGCACAAAGGGACATACTTTTCCTTGTTGCCACAGTAAGTCATGCAGTATATGGTGAACATATGAATAGACTGGAGGCCAAGAGAACCATTTTTCTTTGAGTTGAAAAAGATTTAACTCAAGTCAGAGGACGTTTCTCATTAGTCCAGACCCAAGACTCCCAAGTGAGGAAGGATCTTAGCCTGCAGGATGGCAAATTTGCACTGTTGTGGCTGTGGAGATTCTCTCATGATTTTTAATGATGTGGGAGTCAGGATTTTCTCTGGAAGTTCCCAAGCTGGGTTGAGTTTAGTTAGAGGATGAGGTTTTTATTTTAGGCACAGCTAGATATGTTAACCAGGGAGCAGAGATGCATGCCTCAACCTGAGTATCAGAAAGAGAAATTGAGTTAAGTGCCTGTGACTTCCCAAAAAGTATTTCATGTTGTGCCATCTGTTTATGAATGTAGAAAAGGATCAAACCTGAGACCATACCCCATGATCAATGACGAGTCTTCTCGGTTGGAAACAGTGAGTGTCAACAGTCAGAGATCCCTTTGTCAATTTGTGTTGAGGGGTGTTGGCTGGAAAAGTATTAAAGGCTTTGAAAAAGTCTGGGAAAGAAAGAAAGACTGGGGAAGATAGGACATTTAAAGAAGGCCTAATAGTTAATTATTAATTACATTTATGTATATTTTCTTATTTAGCTTCTTGCTTGAAGAGCTACTGTATGTTTGTACAGTGAATGTATGCATGCAGCTTGCTAACTTAGCTTAGCACAGACTACACAGTGGGAGACAGCTCACCTCACCTTTATATATATATATATATATATATATATATATATATATATATAGTCCAAAGTTCAGATTTGCTCTATTGGCATGAAAAAAAATCAATGATGTCATTTCAAAGGCAGTATATCAAACAATTACATATTGATCTGCTAGAAGAGCTGTTGTTCCTTTCCTTCATGTAGGAGAACTGACAGCTTCTCTGAAGGAGCTAATGTGGGGGCTAGTGTTTGTCTCTATTTGTCAGCCCTGTGGTTGACTGATGACCAGTCCAGGGTGTACCCCGCCTCTTGCCCAGCTCCTTGCGACATCGAACTGGATAAGCAGTAGACTATATAGATAATGGATGGATGAATGGCTTTCACTTTGCTCACTCTGACCATAGTTACACACTTCACTCACAGTGCAAAGCTTTCTTTGCTTTGTTGCTCTTGAACAGCCAGTCGAGGCCATAATATAGAACTCTGAGGAATACTCCTTGTTGTATGCGTATAAGGTTAAGGGAGTTATTATATTAAATTAGTAGCAGAACAACACTATAAAAGAGTTTTGATTTTATAATGGGATTATGAAACATACTTTTCTTTTCAGAGAACTTTCTGATGTCAGGTACTATCTGTTTTCTAATAATTTCTCCAACATGTACAGGCAACTGGTAGGGTTGTTTGCTACCTTGCTGGCTATCTATCTTCTATCTTTTTGAAGTTGAGCTAAGTTAACCTTACAGGCTGATGTTTCTACCTTCCTATTCACTATACGAATAAGCATGCGGTATGGATTTTCTCAAATACTTCACAGTATTTGAAGAAATACTCAAAGTGTTAACTGTATTTATTTAACTGTTTTCTAACAGAAACAAGGGCAGCTGGAAGCTAACTCATAAGCACTTGGTTTACATGACTGTGTAGACTGGTGATCTTGATCTTGATTTGCAAGCAGTGATAGCAGACGCTGCCATCACTGTGTGTGGGTAAAAGCGTAGCTTTAGGTCAGTGATTCTCAACCCGAGGCTCTCGAGCCACATGTGGCTCATTTGGGACTAGTTGTGGCTCTTTTCGTACTTGGGGGGAAAAAAAAGAATGCAAAGTAATTATTTAAAAAGGGAAATATTGTCAGCAGAAATTAATCTTTGCAAGTCATGTCACTGTGTTTCCCACACATATTTTGGTAAAGAAAGAGGTTTTTTGATTGTGGCTCTTGCAGAAATATTTCTTGGTCAACGTGGCTTTTAAGTCTAACAAGGCTGAGTACCACTGCTTTAGGTGCTGTTGATGGTCAAAAAACTAGAAAAGTGCTATATAAGTGTATCTTCATCCAATGTAGTCCACAGTTAAAACAACGACTTAAGCTTGATAAAGTCCCAGTGTGTTACAAGTTACACCAGTGGACACCTGCCTCTATAAACACAGTCACAAACTGTTCCAGCTTTCAATTCAATTCGGACACCAGATGCAAAGAATTCTTTGTGTATGAAGCCACATCCTCATTGCCTTGCTGGAGTTGCCAAATGCTAATCGTTAATTTTCTCTTTCTTTGCTTTCCCAGCCGCTCATTTAGTTAAATCTCTGGTTTGATGACCTGGTGGTACTAAAATGTGAAATGATGTACTCTGGCTGACTTGAATGGCTTTGTCCTCAAAGTGTTATAATAAGTGAAAACAGAACAGCTGCGCTACGTCAACATCAAAGATTTAATGAACTAGACTGCTGAACATTTTTACACCATAAAAACAGTCGAATACGTCCTTCCTGTAGTTACCAAAGAATATATGTAGACCTCAGGGAAAGTAGTCGGATATTTGAGCTTGAAAGTTCATTCTTGACAGAGCAGTCAGCAAAATAATCCTCGGCTCAAGGTTCAATTACTTTGAGTTTTAGAGCTTTCAACCACATATCTGAAATACTCCTCAGCAAATAGGGCTTTACCATTTAAGGCTGCTTTGTTTTTAGTCCAAGGGACTCAACAGTATCTCCCTTCATGACCTATGGACAAATGTCTGGCCCATCCAAGACCAGAAAATGTGGTTTATTTAAGAATAAATAATTTATCCTTTGAATCCAAGAATGTACTTATCATGGGTACAGATGACCGTAGAGTGAGGTTGACTAACTATCAAAACTTTAATTATTTCATCATAACCTGGAATTGTTTAAATGGAGCAGAAAAGTTCAGAGTAAGGAAAACTGAACAAATACTGCTGCATGAGTGAGCATGTATTTTACATTTTCATCATAAGCTATGTAGATGGACTTATGCCTCCAGGCACAAGTAGACTAACTCTGTTATGTACTGTACCTTTAGGGGTATTGAAAGACGAGAAAATTAAACAAACTGTCAGAATCCTGAAAAACGAACCGCCAAAAGGTGGCTGCATAATGGCAGAGTGCCAATAACACCGCTAAGTATGCAGCAGTAAAACATTTTCGAATATTTTCGATACTTTTATGAGTTCTTCAATTCCTTTTTGACATTATCTAAAGTTTTCCAGAGTCTGGGTTTTTCTATCACTGAGGCATGTGCAGTCCTGCTTTTAACCACTATCCCCCTGCAGCAGCACGAGGCCTTCAAACCTGCAGTGTCCTGTTTCCACACTTCTAATACACAGGAACACCAACCTGTAACATACAGCTTCAATCATAAAACCAGCACAGGAAAACAGTTTCACTGGTTTCAGCAGAGACGGCTAATGGCTGAAACTAATGGGTTCGGATAACAATAAAAGTGAAAGTAACAACAATCAACTTGTGAAATCAAATATGGGACTAACGTTTCAATTGCATGAGAGAAACCTGAGAGATAACTTAAATGTCCAACAGGTTTTTTTTAAGGCACAAAATGGCCCACAGCAAACAAGCCAGATGTAAATTGTTAGCAAACATTACAGTCTAATCCACTTTAGATTCGGCTGCCAATATCCTGAACAACCAGCATGAAGCCAACACTCCATTATATCATCGAGTGTAAGTTTGAGTAATTCCAAAAAGGTTTCAAATTATTCCTGAATACCAAGGCCCTGCATTTTGAAGATGGATTAGAAAAAATTGCATAACTACATAACTGTGCAGGAAATAGACGATGCTCTTTGATTTAGTGCAGCTCTATCGGACTCTGTTGTAAAACCCCAAACATTGCAAAACAAAGCACATCGCACAATTGAAAAAAATACATGACTGCCTTTTTCTTTTACTAAAATCCTTTTCAGCTTTATAGATAAACCTTATTAGCACTTAAAAGAAACCGAAAAAGATCCAAAAAATGTACAGAAAAAATAAACAATCTTAACAATATTAGTTTGTCTTGAGATCTAAAGATCCATTCATGACTCTGCTGTATTTAGTTAGCTGAAGAATACAATAGAAACATTAATAAAAAAAAAAGAAAACATCCTCTGTAGGCTAATGATGTCATGTTGGCCCGTTAAATCCAGAAGCTACAGCCTCCAGCTCCACAGAGCAGCACCTTCCCTCTACAGCTGTATTAGACCATTAGACCATTATTTCAGTTCACCACATGTCCAATCTGTTTGGTCTTAAACTGAATCCTCAATCCTCCGGAAAACTGCGAGGAAATTCTTCCCTCCATTCCTCTGTACTTTCTTTCCTTCCTCTGTGCAGGTACCCAAACGACTAATGATGACATCACCATCCTGTCAAAAAAAAAGTAATAACATAATTACATTAAGGAGTTCAGTGGCATTTAAAACTCACTTGGATAGTTTATTAAAAATAAAAATCAATTAAAACAATAAACACCAAAACAGTCCTTGTTGTTGAATCGTTCATTTGTTTAAAGCTCATGTGAGGAGTCTTTCTCTGTATATGAATCAGATTGACATTGATACTGATACCCCATTATGACCTACAAAAGCAAAATTAACCATCAGAGTTATTTTTATAGAGTTAATTTAAATGTATGAAACCAGTGCCGTGGGCTATTTTCACTTGATTGTTTAAAGAAAGCAGGGAGAGATTTTTTTGAATGAAAAACACTCATTTTACATGTTCAGGATAAAACCAGAAAAGAGATGAGTTATTGCTTTTTCCATAAGGGGTGCTAAAAATGACATAAAACCAGAGTCAGCTGGGGAGAAAGGACAATCATGCTTGGCACAGTACAGGGCAACTGGGTCTAGTGTGAGTGCACCCTTAGATACTAATACTTAATACAAAGTGATTTCTCAATCAAGACTCACGTCTGTACTCCCTTTGTTCTCTGTGTGCGAGTGCTTCCTTATATGTATTTGCTTTAAGTCATTTTAGTACTTCATTTATTTGACATTAATATGAGGCTGTGACAGAGCTGTGATTGTTCTTTCTGTCCTTCTTGCCACTTTGTCCTCTGCTTATGAAACTCTTAAGCCTGTTAAAAGTCCTCCTCACTCACCTAACAGTTTCTTACTTTAGGAGCTGTCTTTAGGGCATTTTGAATAACTCTGATCTTTACCGGGATCTAGTCCTACCTTTACGAGGAAATCTTAGAAAATGTCAAAATTCTAAAAATGCTTTAAGAATTTCATAACTAAGAGCAAGTCTTTGTACTTTATGAATACGGCCTCTGGAGTACAGTTTACCTACCATTACTGCTTTTATGCGCTCATAAATTAACACATGAAAATATTTTTAATGGAAAGTACATTTTTGTTGGGGAGACACTCTTTAGAGTTTCAAATAGTAAGTAAGTTAGCTTATTGAGGTAATTTATCTGGTGTGCCTACAAAGGTTAACAGTGGGGCAAACCATTCATCCAAATGATTTACTTACGAGTTAAAGTAAAAACACAATTCCTATAAAAATGTAAAACTATTTTCAAATTGTGAGTTTGACCTCATTTTCATACAGAATGCAGATTTAAAAAAAATCACATATTGTTGATGAAATGCAAAAGCAGGCATTAAAAGCTGCATGTGAACGCACCAGTTCTTCATCAGGCACACGTGCAAAAAGAGGATGTTCAGTGAAATGCTTCACCATCCAGAGGTGCACTTCGTCCACATCTGTAATGGTGTACACCAAACCCTGACATGAGCAGACACACGCAGAGAGGTTATTAACACAGTTCTAGGAAAAAAAAAAGTTAACAAAGCTTCATTGTTGGCATAACCTTGATCAATGTATTGACCAAACCAAACCTGTTGCATTTATAAATACAGGATATATAAAAAATAATAACAAAAAAAGTTCATTTTCTTTTATAATATTTTTTTTTTTAATCTTCTCAGCTTTGGAGTAAAATGGTTTATTGCATCACTTTTGCAGAGCAATGGTCAAGATAAAAATAACCTGAGACAACACAGAGGGTAATCACCTATGTCCCTTTAGTTTACTTTGCAGATAACATCACGAGAAAAAGGATTTCTTTGAAAATTCAGCAATGGCACCGATTTCTACAGCATTGCAAAACTGCAAATATGTTGGTTTTTTTCCGCTTAGAAAAGGCAGGCTAACAGAGACAGGTCGTCTGATGTCTCGTTCAGGTGTGGTCTGATTTAAAAGACATTACCTAATAAACGATGGACTGAGATTCATTTTTGTAAGAAGGTGCCTCTGTAAATGAGCGTTTCTTGACAGCCTCTCCACCCACCAGCACAGGTATGGCTGAGTGCCAATGCTTAAGGCCTTGTAGAGCATATACACACAGTTGCTCACACATGCATCAATGCACACACCAGAGGAAAAACGATAAAGCCATATTTAGACACAAGCCTTCCATTGTTCCCAAAAACCTGCATTGGGGCTCACGCCCTGTTCCAGTGTCCCTTGGTTGCTCTGACAGGCGGCAGCTGGGTGTGTGCCAAAGTCAACCATCTGAGGGAAACACTATTTGGTCATTTTTATTCATCTGGATTGTTAGATTTCTGTACAGGTTAAATATTGCGGTTGAGGTAAATTGCTGTAATGTTAACTAAAGTTTGGAGATTTTCAGTGCTATTTGGTCCATGAAACAAGTCTCCTTCTTGTTTGAGCTGTTTGAGTGGCAGCAGAAGAATGAACCTCTCAAACTTTAGCTAACTTGCTATTTGAAACAATTGTATTTATTTGAAACAAAAACAACCGATGAGCTAACAACTTACATGTTGAATATGGTGTCGTATTGTGCAAGCAAATAGCGTGCAATAAGCAAAACGCAGCAGCTATACAGCAATTCGGATGTCATACTTAGGATGTGAAACGATGCGGTAAGTTGAGGTTAACACGATCTTTTAATGTGCAACTATTTTCACGAAGAATGTTGTTCATTCTTTTTAATTCACTGTAAATATCTGTCATCGTATTCTTCTTCCAATCTCCTTCTGTGATCCAGCACAGCGCTGATGAGGACGCGGCCAGATTGGCGCCCCTCAGCAGTCGAGGCCAGGGGCGTAGTGGATCCGAGCCTCTCTGGGACACGTTTATTGGGATGTGTAAAGGTGTGCAGGAACAGGTGTATGCATGTTTTTTTTTTTGGTTTTTTTAAACGTGAATTTTTTTCTTTTCCAATTTTGTGAGTACACCATCTTACAGTATGAAAGTCTTTTGTGCAGTTTGTTTCCATGGCTACCACAGACCAGCTACTAAGTGCAATGTACTTTTGTTTGTTATTTATCATGAATCATGTTAAATAATGGTCTATTTTTGGATTCAACAGTACCAGCCAGATTAATCAACACAAACTTTGTTAACACTATTCCGAAACACCCGGCTGAGGCGGAGTGATACACTTTGTGAAAAGTCCCATAAAGGTTGTACTCTAACATCAGTATAAATGATCTTTAAACATTGACCTCACATTTGAGAAGCTGAAAACAGCAAATGTTGACTGACTGACTCAAACTTGTAACAATATGGTGGCTGATAAAATATCTGCCGATTGTGTAATCATTTCAGCACACATGCAGTAAGTGTTAATGATGCACATACCCCGACTCTAAGCGTGTAGGCGTACTCTGCCAACAATGTGGAACTGATGATCCTCCATTTGTGCTTGGTCTTTTTAAAGTGAGGGTCAGGGAAGAGGAAGAACATCTTACTGAGCTACATGACACAAAAAAAAACAGTAAAGTTAGCAGTGAACAAGCAAAAACTCTCTAGTTAATACGGCTCACGTAATAGATCAAATTATAAAAAGTTTGTGTATCTACTTTGATACTTCCATGGTAAAATGTATTATTGTCATCAATCAAAAGTGGCCCTCATTATAGTTTGTGGTATTTAAAAAAAAGAAGGAAGGATTGCAAAACTGGAATTTCCCTCCTTGATTTTTTTTCTCCCATAAAGTGCCCCCGTGTCTCTGTCTTTGACAGGAGTTGGAGTGAAGGCTCCATTGATATTGGTCTGACTGATGCATTAAAAACCATCCAAGTAACTTTTTATTAGTTCAAATAAATAATGTCAGGTAGAGACAGAAAGATGTGGGTTTAATCAGTGGGGATTGCCACAGCCCCGGGGGCCCTGTCAGTGCTGATGGAAGGTGGAAAAACCTTCACGCCTCCGACTTTTTTTTAATGTTACAAAAGACACAAAGAGGGGAAAAAAAGAATGACGAGAATTTGCTGCTTGAACAATTGAAACACATCATGCATGTGAGAAGGATTTGGACTAGATTTTGAGCACTTGTCTAGGTGGTCGCTTCTTATGTTTCTGCTTTGAAAATATGGCTGAAGACAGTTTTTCTCCGATCGTGAGCAAGAGTCAACTATTAGAAAAGTTGGAAAATGTTCCTCCCAGGTAAAATTATTCTAAGTCAATAGCTGCAGTTAAAGCCCCAAGAAAACCAAGCTAACCTACTCTTTCAAATGTTCTGTTTTGATGTCAACATTTTCAATCTCAGCCTGGCAATAGGCCTGAAGTTTGGCTTTACAAGAAATAATCTGAGACATTATATTAGATTACAAAAACAACATCCAATCAGTTCATGGGTTTTTACAGTAAACTCCTGTAACATTTATATTCTATATGTCACAGAGTGTTGCCCTAGTTCATTTTTCCCATTTAAACTCACTCAGGGCATTTAAGGTCAAGGGTTTTTTTTTTATCCAAATTTACCCTGGTACACTAAACCCACTGTGTAATCTAATGCGAGTTTTAACAAGTCATAGATTACCGCAGCTAATTGGAACGGATGAATGCACTGCTCTACACTCAGCTGATGCGATGCCTTGCGTGTCAGTCAATGACCCCATTGTTGGGAAATCCTGGATTTATTGAGCAAGCCGTATAAATTAATTCAGTCCGTATGTTAAACATGAGGAAAGTAATTACTTCTCAGTCAGAAACGCCTGGGCTGTTATTCTTATAGCCCTGGCTGTGTGAGGACAGACTGTCAGCTTTTATTGAAGGTCATTACAGCCCACCTCAGATGAGCTACCACCACAGACCTTATTTGTACGTAAATACGTAATATATGCACCTCTGTTTTTTTTAAGGCCAGAAGATTTCGTTTGAGAGAGGCCTTTGCACTACAACATACCAGAATGGAACACAAGGAATAATCGTGATAACTGCTTTTCTGAGCTCTTCCAGGTGCTATTGCATGAATTTGCAATGCTAACATAAGCTTGTCAACAAACTGAGGTGTGATTAGTTACTGGTCTCTGAGTGTGAGAGCCCAGTAACTTTTTCTTGCTCTGATGAGCAAGAAAAAGTATTCTTTTAACATGACTGACATGTGCAAACTCCTAGCTTTAAGACTGTACACATGGGTTGGATGGGGCAATAAAAGACATAAAGTGATCGACTGTGTGAAGTCAAGGAACAAAACTATTTAAATTATTTCTTCCTTCATTAGCTTTGAGTCAATCAGGTCTGTGATCTAATGTGAAAAGACATTTGAACTTCATTGTGGAAATATTTAAATACATAGAATTATATTATCAAAGCATTATCATTAGATAAAAGTGCATAGTGAATATTTACAAATGTTGTAACCTAAAAAAAAAGAGAAATTAGCGTTTTTTTTAAGCTTGTGGGGCTTTTAAGGCTAAAAAAAATAACATTTATAACAGCAGTGTTGCGGTTCATTTTATTTTTATGCAGCAATATCACAAAGATCACAACCTACCTGTCCTTTGGAAAAGAAGTTGGGGAGATATTTCATAGCATTACTGCGAAGGCAGGCAATGTTCTGGTACTTTCCTGGCTCAGAGGCACGGAGTGACTGGATGCGATCCTGAACATAATCAGACACTTTCACTCGGATCTCCAGGCCTAACATGAGCTTGTCTGGGAAAAGTTGAGATAGCTCCACTGGAGAAAAGTGAAGAGAACGACATCAGTGATGTGAATAAAAGGGAACAAGAGGTCCACATAGAAAAATAATTATACATTTGAAAACCTCTGCATAGGGTCACATCAGTACCTAAAAGCCCCCCGTATCCACATCCAATGTCTGCAAACTCAACCCTGGGGGACTCCATCTCAGAAGGGTTTCCAGTGAAGACGTCTGGATACAGCTCAGACCAGTTCATCTCCTCAGGACACACTGGACTGAGGAGGATACAGGGAATTCTTAAATAGTCAAAACAAGAAAGCAGCTGACAGTGTGTTAACATGTGTATGATTCACAGTATCAATGAGTCTACAGAATGATTGCAGGCTACTGCAGATTTCTTTTGTAACCATCTTCAAATCTGCTTGAAACAAATTACCCTGAACCACTACAAAAAAATTCAACTTCTATATCCACTTCTATACTCATACAAAGACATTTGGGAAGGACAAGTTAAAGAAGGTAAGTGTGTAATGTGTAGAAGTCAGACACATGGACGTCACTCACTACTCGAACGAGTGGTACGCCATCGGGTTCGAATGAGCTCGCTGTCGGTAGTAACGCTTCTGCGGCAGTGACGTCATCTTGGTACGAAATACACTAAAGCACTCAAGTCTTTAAAACAACAAAACAAGTATCTACATCTGAACATCGACTCGCAGGGAGTCACGCTTGTTTGAAATGAATTCGCTAGCGGAGGTGAGTCGCGGAAATTTTACGTCATCAGAAAGCATGTTGTGAGTTTTTTTTGCTTGGTCAGGTGTTTTTTTTTTTTTTTTTAAAGTGAGCGGTCATAAACAAGACAGGGGCGATCTTCTTCTTCTTCTTCTTCTTCTGCTTCTGTGGAGTTTTTTTTGTCTGTTGGAAAACGAGCTTAGTGGTACATTACCTCCACCTGCTGAACTGGAGTGTGGAGTCTGTCTCTACGACACCTTGCCTACTACTTTCAATCTAAGTTCAAATCGTGACGTCTCTGTTAAACTGTGTAAAAAGTGTCATTAATGCAAAAAGACAAAGCCACTTATACTGAGAAATTAATAAAATAAATATCAAGCAGCGAGCAAATCCGAATAGATGAGTAGGCTACTGGGTGCTGGACAGAAGTATGTTGATCTCTGATGAAGGGTTGTTGTGATACATTTCATGTGTTGAAGTCACGTTTGTTTTGCTCTGTGTTGAGTGAACTTCACCTGCTGGTTTTCAGTGTAAAAAAAAAAACTATGCAGCTCTATGGAAACAAGCCCAAAACAAGCGACCTGGCTCCTCAATATATTTGTTGTGTTTAGCAACAATAGATAGCATACAAATGTGGAATGTCGACAGAGAATATACAGTATTTGCCACTGAAGGAATAACTATCGAATGCTATTCGGTTTAGTATCCAGCAGAGGGCAGCATTCCTCTAAAATAATGTTTGGTCTTAACATCACTGATCCTGCATTTTCATAAACTTCAAACACCTAGATTACTGATCTTGACAATGAGAAACTGGAGCTGAAGAAGAAACTGAACAAACTCAAGTGTCAACGTGATGCCAATGAAAAACGAGACACTGAAAGGCAACAGATTGAAGAAAAGAAGCTCGTGGAAGAGATCCAGGTCCTCAAGAGAAGCAACCTGCAGCTCAAGGTGACGTTTCAAGGCTTCATACCACAGAAATATATCTTCCCCCTGCACTTGTTCCTGTGGTGGATGTGGTTATGATGTTAATATTATTATTTTGTTTTCCTCTTTAGACCCGACTGGAATTGATCCTCACGCCAAAGGAGTAACACCACCATCAATAACAGAGTGGCCATTTGACTTTAAATAAAATAATCATTACATGTTGCCTTGACTGTCATATTTGTCAATAGTGTAATGAAAAATGCGCTCCAGGTACCATTTTGAAGTAGATTTACTGTTCTTGAGTACTTTGTTTTTCTCCTCCAATTTGACAGAGTTCTCCCAAGTTAAGGAATTATCATCCAATGAGTGTCCTTATCAGTATTTTATTGATCAAATATCGGGTGAACTAAATATAAGGCTTTATTAAAGGATGTAAAGTAAAGGGATATTTTAAGAAACCTTATTGCATGTGATGTGAAGGCTTTATTGATGAATTCAAGTGTAAAACATAGATTACTTTATCTTTAAGAACCTGAGCCTATACACCCAACTCTAGAATATGTTAGTCTCAATGCAAATGTGGAAATACAATCATCCAGGTTTTTTTCGCCTTAGTTCAAATTATTAGACGTGTACTGACACATTAGTGAGTTTACATTAGTGGAGGCTGCACACAGGTACAATTACCTCCATTTAAGAAAAATACTGAACATTACTTAATGGGATCACAGGGATTACCGATGTGTAATTGTTTGCACTGGGACTAATTTGAAGTGCAGGATTAGCATGTGAGATACGTATCTCATCAGTTAATAGACAACATAATACAGTAAATGTATTAAGTGAAAAAAAATGCATTTCTTCTAGCCAGTGTTACTGTAACTCCTGAATAACATATCAAAGTTGGAGTCTCCCAAACAGTGAAAAATATACACTAGTTCTAAAATATAACAAGCTGTTGAAAACTCTGAGAGCAGCACAGCAGAGGTGAGTGGAAGGCTTTGTGGTATTTGTATGTCCTCACCTTTAAGTTACCTCACAGCTCTGTGCTCTGTGCTATACCACCAACCTCTGTCTGTGTGTGTGTGTGTGTGTGTGTGTGTGTGTGTGTGTGTGTGTGAAACTTTCTTTAATTGTGTTATTGATGAAGCACCTTGGTTGTACAGTACTGGTGGCACACTGAGCCACTGACCCATGCTTATCACAGACTATAGTGCATCAAGATTGGAGCCTTCATACATGTGTATCTCATCAAAACTTTGTCGTCTAAATTGTCTAAACTTTCTGGACCAGTCTTCTATCAGTTGGTTAGATTTTCAACAGAAAACACACACACACACACACACACACACACACACACACACACACACACACACACACACACACACACACACACACACACACACACACACACTTTCATGAGAAGCGTGGCTCTAAATTTCACCACTGGAAGAACACTGAGCTCTAGAGAGGAAAAGGAGGAATAATAGCATTAGAAAAAAAAGGGCTTCATCCATAATTTTTGTGAAAATGGAACCATCAACATTTTTCCCAAAAATTAAAAGAATCTACTTAATAGATTATTTTTCAGTAAGCCCCTTCATGTGCTTCATTCTCCGCAGCCACTTATTCTATGCGCATTTATTTAATATGTGTCAAACAATTCATGCAAAACCCTGAATGTTGGTCCTTGGAAAAAAAAGGGGAAACCACATTTCTATTCTGTCTTTCTTTTATTTGTAAATGGACCATGTACAATATTTAAGATACATGTTGCCATTTGATGCATTCTACCAGAGTGAGCTTAGAGCTAATTTGACAAACAAGCAAAACAAAACAAATCAAAGACCAAAAGAAAAATATTATATCTTGAGTGCTATGTGACACCAGACTGGGTTTGTTGAGTAGTTTCACAATTGTTCAGGAAACTACAAGTAACTTTAAACGATTTTTGATTTTAGTCAGGTTGATTTGAATAAATACAAAAAGACACTGAATACATATTTGATACCAACCTTTTTTGTTTTATTTTGTTATTTTTAGGGAGCCTATTCCAAAATCTGGAGAGGGACTATTGATGGAAACTAGCCTTTTGGCTAACTCTGGTGTGAATTGTTGATTAATATGCACTGTCCCTGTGAAATAAAATATAATAAATAAATAAAGTAAAAATTAAAAAAATAATAAATATATGAGCGCACATAAAGGGATCCTAATTGGAAAATACTGAGAAAAACAAATACCCCATAGATTATTACCCCACATGGACTAAAACACAGATGCCATGAAGCCATATATCAATTTTGAAAATAAGCAATTTCAACCACAACCCATTATCATGTGCAGTAATACTTTTGAATATTGGGAGCTGTATGGTCATTACCATTTTTAACATTACTGATAGAGCCTTTTTAGGGTTGACCTTACTGTGCTTCAATGTTTATTTTATTTTCTACTGCTTCTTTTCATTCAGCCCTTATAGGCTGCTTTATATTCACAGCACTGTCGTGCTATTCTTACTGTTGTGCAGTTATTTTGGAGCAATCTGGCATTAATACTTCGGGTTGACAGTTCTTCATCTTATCATATCTTATAGGCTCATCATCATAATGTTTGCATGCATGCTCATATGTTACTAAATGTCCTGTCTTTATCAAACAACAAGGGTAAAAAAATTCAGTTGAATAGCCTCGTGATTTCTGAAGTTTTTCAGAGTAAACTTGTGACTACTTTAAACAGATTTCTGGTCAATTGCAGTATTGATTTTTATCATTCTTCAACACCCATGGCTCAAAGTCATAGGTCTATCAGGTCTATCACAGGGGGCGGTGGGAGTGTAGTTCAGTGTTGCCAGATCTCGCGAGAGAAACAAGCAACCAGCTCTATGGAAACAAGCCCAAAACCAGTGTCCTGGCTCCTCAAATTAATAAAATGAAGCCAAACAGGTTACCTAACCTACTACATAGTTTAAAAGAGAGGTCACCAGATGGGGCGGGCTAACCAAAGAAACGGGGTTGTGGACGGATCCTGGAAAAGGACAAGCGATCGAGTTGGGAGAGAATCAGTAGGAGTTCATACAGGGAGCAAAGCAAGCCCAAACAAGCAACTGCACTTTAGAAAACAAGCCTAAAAACCCACAACCCGCGACTGACGATATTAACGACTTTACAGAAAAACAAGCCCAAAGTCGCTTATAACAAGCGGACCTGGCAACACTGATAACATGAAGAATCTGTAGCACCCTCTGGCTGTCTCCTGAGTCAAATCTAATATCCTCTACTCACTTCAAGACTGGGTAGCCTCTTAAGAATGTGGTATCCTAACATCTGCCACTGAGGTCAGTTGTTTGACCAAATTTAATATTTTTTTTTTTTTGGGGGGGTGGGGACCAATATGAATATCATTCAGAAGCTTTATGAGGATGTTTTGAACCAAAACAAAAAAATCAAACCAGGTTGTGTAAAAGATATAACATTTATTTCTCCCTCATTTCTACCTCACTCTAAAAATGAGAAACAAAATGAAGCACCAAGTCTCCCTTTGATATCAACACTGTCTTTAATACAAAACATGAAACCAAAGGGTATATTTTATAACAGTGTAATATATAGCAGCATTTTTAACTTAAAGTAAAAAAAAACACCAGATTTCTGGTGCAACATGACAAGGATTGACAACAGCTCATCACATGTTGTAAAACTTTTCTTGGTGGTAAAAAAACAGTCAAATAACAAAATCTTAAAATTAAAGTGTTTTTTTTTCTCATTGTCATGTTTTGTCTCTGTCTTTAAAAACAACAGAGTTCCACCTTTACCCAAATCCCAGCAAACATTTTTTTATTGTCCACTTATAGTTCAGGGATATTATGCAAAAAAACAATTGAGACTAGAAGTGTATTGGCAGTGTTAATGTGGCAGATTAGGATTATTTTTTAATAAATCCCAATCAACACTTTGATCCCCTTCTTTTGTATTGGAGTACTTTTGTCTGTGTAAGCTGGCCTCATACAGTGGTTACCCTCATGACCACCTCTTGGTTGGCACTGTGCAGGTTGTTGGGTCTTAACTGGCTGAGGATGTGCAGAATGGTGTAGCCACAGTGGTGATTGAGAATAGTCCTGACATGTCGACTCGTCCTCTGGCTGCTGTCTGTGACGCTGTTTCTCTCAACACCACCAGCACCTGTTGGACTGCTGGAGCTGACTGGGTCACCTAAATCCTTCGCTTTCTCATAATTCAGCACTTTCCACTGCTGGTTCACTGCCTGCCAGCGCTTAAAGATCCGGTAAACAGACAATCCTTCATGGATTATAAGGCCTGGGCATAAAGGACAAAGGGTGGGGAGGTGGGGGGCAGGAAACAGGGTTACATATAGACAAACACTTGTTTGTTTTAATAAATGTCTGGAAAAGGAACAAGAGGTACAGAGTAAATAAGAAGTAAATGTTCCAGAAAATAAGAAGATTACACGTACAAGATGTGTTTATGTTTTGGACTCATGTTTTCAAAGAAACACGTGTTTGTTAAAATCTCTTGCAGAACAGATGTACTTTTTTGTTTGTGTCAGTGTGCTAACCATAAACAAATATATAAGTGGCTCTTTAATGAAGGTATTTTTAATTGCATACTGCATGGTTCCAGTCAAAGCCCTTTCAGTTTGTTGGAACTTCTGTCAGTCAGTAGAAGACTATGGTCCAGACTACACATTTACAAAGGATTTCTTTGACAGAACTGCTGTAATGCAATCCATGTTATATTAAAACACAATTATACATTTTCTGAATCATATTTTTTTGTGTATGTTTATTGTATATATACCAGTATTGTGCTCCTGCTGAACTGATGTATACTGACCAAATACTCTCTCGACATTATTTACGGTAATTGGAATGATTCACTCACAAATAAAAAAATTAAAAAATGACTAATAGCATCATACCCATACTTATATGTAATGATTATATTATTGTGGCTGTGTAAAGTGTTCCCCCAAATCACTTAAAATGGTGATACGACTCATTCATGTTCAACAATTACCACGTGTTAAAAGTCACAGTGTGTCTCACCTATGCAAACTATGTCCATGAAGCCGTACATGCCATAGCAGATCTGGAAGAGAAGGTCCTGGCGCTGCCATTTGGCTGAAGGACTGAGGGACGACCACACTAACCAGGAGACACTGGCCATGAGGAACAAAGAGCCCAGGATGATGGATGCAATCTGAACCTTCTCAATCCCAGTCAGAGAAATGGCCTGCCACTAGAAATGACATACACAAATGCACTGAAACCTTACTCTGTATGCTTTAATTATAAAGCATGCTTTCCTAATTATGCAAGAGAATATCCTTTTTGTGACAAGATATGAATCCAGTTGTTGCTCAAGAAAGCACCTCCACATAGCCATGTTTAAACGGACCCCTTGTTCCAATGTTTTCTGTGGTTTCAGATTAAGTCTGTGGGTCTTGCATTCATATAAATATATATTGTGTGGTATGGTATGGTGTTGTATGGTATGGTACGGGCTATGGTACAAAGTGGTACGGTATAGTATGGTGTTACAGCTGTATGTTTTCTGTTCTCTGTCCCCTTCCCTTTCTGTTGTGTCTTCCCATCTCTTTCCAGGTGGATCTAAGTAGTTGTCAATCAGGAGAACCTGGACCTTGGATCAATATTTTTAAAGCCCCTGCACTGAATTGTGAGGGCAGACCCGTTTGGAGTAGGGACTGTTGCCTTGCAGCCTCTCAGGATGAATTTTGTGCTTATGGTGTGTTTTGTGGTGTGTTAGTTAAGTTCTTAGTTCGTTATTGTTTAATGATTTAGATATGTTTGTGTCTTTATGATAAATCCATGGTTGTGAGTGTTTTTTAAATTTATTTTTCATTTGGGCTTTCTATGCCTCCATTTAGAGATGGGACAATGGACAGAGTAAGAAATCTGGGCGAGAGAGCGGGGAACGACATGTGGGACAGGAGCCGGAACATAAACCTGGGCCGCCCACCTGGAGGACAACAGCCTCTGCACTTGGGGTGTTTGTATCATGGTATGGTATGGTATCATATGATTTGGTAGGGTTTTGTAAGGTATATGGTGTATATATGGTGTGGAATATTATGGTATTGAATGGTTCCGGTCTTGCTACATCAGGATAACATTTCTTAAAATCTCTGTGGTTTCATTTGAAACAAGCAGTTTCCATTAAGAATATTTCATTACAAAAGACAAAATAATGCTAAAGCAGAAAGGTTCCACTGACATAGAAAGCTATCACTTACTTAACCATGAAGTATCTTTGTTGTTTCCCTCAGGGATTAATAAAGGATATCAAAAAAATTGATTTAGAGTAACCATCATATAGTCGGTTTGCTCTTCAGAGTGGTGAGTCTCCTCTGGTGTGTGTGAGGTTACATGTTATTTAGCCTCAGTATACGTTTAGGATTTTTATAACTTTGTTTCCAAATGATAAAGTCACTTTTAATGGCTCCAGTTTCCTCTTGGCTCCTGGTTCTCTGGATCATTTCACCTTCATTGAGATGAAGCTAGAGTGATATGTCACTAACAAACAGTATGCAGTTATCTTAAAGCCTCACTTAGCCTCCACTGCTTTGACTTTAACAGGAATAATAAAACCTATCATGAATTGAGTCATTGATTAATAATGTGTGACACCAATTTTCCAAAAACATTCTATTCACAATGTTTATTCAGAGATTGTCTGGCAACAAAAGAGAATGAGTATTTTGTCTGATAATATCTGCGCTCCAGCATTCAGACGCTGGATTCATTTCCACACTGTCTGTTCATCTGTTGTCCATGTGCTTTCAATCATGTGCCAGCTCTTTGAAATGTGCAATGACTCTATCTGTTCTTAGCATCTTCCTATAAGTCCTTATCGCTTTCTCCCTCTCTTTTTTTTCATATAAAACTGCCCATAATTTTGCAAATGACTATTACTCCATCTGCCAACAGCACTGTGGAGCTAATGACTTTCCTGTTAGGACTGAGTGCATGTAGACTGAACAGAACTAGACCTACATGTCTTCGCAGTGTCTGTGGGTTAAATATTTACCTTATGATCAATGACCTATTATGAGACTTGTGCTTGTTGTCATAAATGTGTCCTTTTTTCACATTGAACCTGTGAATATTTTCATCAAATTAAGAGTGGTTTCCAAAGTGAAGTTTTAAAAATGGAGACAGTGAGGGAGAGTGTGACTGTACCTGCAGGGGCTTTTTGGTGCTGATGGCCAGGACATGATAATTAAAGAAGCAGAGCTCACAGCTCCAGGAGCCTCTCTCACTGATCCAGCGAATAAGGCAGGACTGGTGAGTGCAGCGCACAGAGCCGTCACAGCGACAAGGGCTCAACAGCTCCCCCTGCAGGACACAAAATGCAGCTGCATTAGACACTGATGTGATACAGTTTCCTAGAAAAGCCTGCCACAAAACTTGATTTGACAGTAAAAACAAAGATGAAGATCATTAAGATTCAAACCCTGACATGAAAAGTTCCCTAGGCCTAACACTATAACTGTCACAATATATCTTCTGAAGGGACAGCATTGTTGTTTGTTTTTTACGGTGTGCTAATCTCTGTTGTTTCTGCCCTTAAACTGGGAAGGTATTAAAAACTATACTGAATAGCATGTGCACCAAGACATAAAAATGGATATGAAAGTGTACTTATGGATGCAACTGAAATAGAAAGTTTTAAAAGAGTGCAATCATTGAAGTCAGGTCTACAGTTATTTGAATTTCCCTCGGGATCAATAAAGTATCTATCTATCTATCTATCTATCTATCTATCTATCTATCTATCTATCTATCTAAATTGGAGGTTTAAGTAACAACAAAGGGTGGAGTTGGATCATAGTTGGTGTTTTTTTTGGAAGAAACCTGAAGGTTTGTACTGGGACTAGTGACAGATGAAGACAAAATACGAGTTTAAACTAATAAAAGCTACTTTGTTGAAGCAAAGTGTCACTTTAAGACTGATGCTATTCAGTCTTTGCAAACAGGTTTACCATTAATACACTTGGAGAGATGCTCCCATGCCTTTAAGGTTGGTCATTGCTCTCGTACAGCTTTCTAGCTTTGCTAAACATAACCATGGCTGTGTTTACAGATCTTCAGTGTCTGTGTCTTCATTCAGTCAAATTGTGATCTGGTTTTGTTTCAGTTGAAATGTGATACAGTTATAGGTGGTCTCCAGACACTGTTGTTCCTCTCTGTCCCATTTTGGCAGGAATGTGGGACATCTATCAGTTTCACACAGTATATATTTATATCATACGGCATGTCAGCAAAAATTGCTTTCATAAATATCTTTCATATAACTGCTCTGATTGGTACAAGTAATTGGAAAAAATCACACTGGCAAATAATCTGTCATTCATGAATATGAGCCACTCTCTGCCTGTAGCGGTGACCAGACAGTGTTAAAATGTCTCTGTCAGCAGTTTATCTAGCCTTAGGCCTTGATCTTAAGTTGTTCTTGATTTCTGTTACAGCAGATCCTCCATGGACGGAAGGAGGACGTTTGTTTCCACTGTTTCTTGACTCCTGACAGGAAGAAATTGTAACTTGTCAACTCAACATATGAGCATTTGGAGCAATGATTCGCTCTTGCAGAAATAACAAGAGTCAATGAAAATAAAGCTTTTGGCAGTTTATCCACCATTTTTATGGCTAATTAAAGAATAAACTAAAAACTCACCTCATTGTTAGGATGATAATTCAATTATCTCTCCTTGTATTACCATCTAGCTATGACTGTATATCCAGTAAAATAATGTACATCTTGAGCTGCTGACATTCAAAACAAAATGTAATAAAATAAGAGTGTATGCCCTTCTTGTTTTGGTTCAGGTACAAATGGGCCACCGACAGCCTTAATCTGGAAACACTTCTGCTTCTCTCCTGTCACTTTCCTGCAGCCTCAAAAGAAATCAAAGGACATCTGGCTCCGGTTTTGTTGTCAGCGCAAGACTCCCAAAATCCCTCAGACTGACAACACTCTCACACATTTCACTTTATTTCCCGTCTGACTCTAGGTGATGCGCTAGGTCTTTCATTAGATGGATATCTGGAGGGGGAGAACAATATTTTTTTTCTTGACGTCCAGCAAAGTTTGTCTCTTCAAGGTTATTTCATCCGCAAGTTTTCATGTGCTCAGACCTCCACGTCTTGGTAAGAATAACATGACATGATAATAAACATTTAAACTTAACTTCAGAAGTCTTTTGATCACCTTTATGTGAGACACTTTGTTTGACCTAAATGAATGATGATAGCAGTCACTATCAACTTGTTCTGCCTCCCTTACAAAACTCTCTCTTTAACAATGAGTACAAATGTCTTTTATGTCGAGTAATCTTTTTTTTTTTTTTTTTTACATCAGATGCTGAATCTGTTACAATGAGTAAGACTTCACTTGTTCACACATAAATAAAAAGCTACTCCTGCTTTCCCCAGCCTATTATTAACTGATGTCCTCCATCTGCTCACTGCTATTTTAAGACCATCACTAGGTTGATTCCTTTTTTTACTTACTCAGACTGAATGTACTTTTTTCCTTTTTGTACAGAGAAATTTATAATTATTTGGTGTTGAGAAGAACTCATATCTTCATTATGACTTTTTTAAAACAGTGGTGTGATCGAGTGCATTACCAAAGTATCAAATTAGATGTTGTGTAGGTTCCAGGTTTCTGGGGAGTGTGACCCAAATTTGGGAATTACAGTCATTATATTTTAGCCTCTGCTGCTTCAACTCTAATGATTCCTGTTAAAAAAAACTTAAAGTTCCTCAACGTTATGGTAGTGCAACACTAAATTGCTGGAGTTGCCTTTTAAGGCTAAACAACTGGTGCTAATCTCTCAGTTGGCAACAATCCCCTTTGTGTAGGTATAATTTCTCAAATCTTGTAAAAAGTAGTTTTTTAAGACATTCACCAATTTAAGTAGTCCTATTTAAATCTTGCTAGCAGGCATTAATGCATACATCACAGAGTAGTGGAGTAGTGAACGTGGCCTGTGTTGGCCTGCTTGAGCTGACTTCCCAATGCTGAGCATTAGTGGTTTGAAACTTCATGAACCAGTGATAACCTGAACTCTTGAGGTGTCTGCGAGTTTATGATGGAGACCAGGCTGGAACTGAGTAGCTGCACCCCTTGTTAAATATCAACAATCCACAAAAACACACCTGAAGAATTTAACCCTACCTTCTCTGGCCCCTGGAAGCAGATCCGGCACTGCAAGGATCGCATCCCACACTCTGACAGACTGGGGAGGGAAGCTGCTTCCAGGCCGCCTCCTCCTCCCGGTCCTTCTCCTGGTCCCTGAGATGTGGTTCCTTCCTCAAAAGCCAAGCTGTGTGGCCGGGGGTCAGAGCCATAGTACTCTTCCTCATCGTCCAGTCGAGAGCAGTTCAGGGGGGAACAACCACAGCTCCCCACAGCTAGCCCTCTCATCCTGGTCTGTGTGTCCGGGTCTGTGCCTGTGTCAGTCCTCCTTGTAGATCCGGATTGCATCAGTACCAGCACTTTGATTTCATTGAAAAACATCCGGATCTGATACTTAAACATTCTTTAGCAGCTTACATGGGAACAACTTCTCCAAGAGACAGCCTTCAACGTGACTGTATCAGGTCCATCATTAATCATTTTAATGTTCATGATGTTTATTACGTTCATTATTATTTTATGTTGCATGGCCCCTGAACCATTCCCCTCCAGTTCATATAGCATAATAAATTATGTGCAGGTATCGGTCAACAAAGCATGCGAGTACCATGATAGGCTTTTAGATCAGCCCATAGCTCTTTGCATATCCTGTCTTTATAGCATGTGCAGCTCTGTCCAGCCAATAGGGAGGGTTTATTTTTCATAGAGACTTTTTTATCGGAATTTAATGGAGGCTGTGAATCATAAAGTGCGAGGCACCAACATTAAAGTCTCAGGTGTCCAACAGAAACTTCAACATGCCAACATTTTCTTTCGAGTGTGTCCTTTCTTCTTTCGGATAAAACAGACGCTACAGGTAGGTATACCTGAGGAGGGGATTGACAATCAGCCCAGGACGATTTTTAGGCTACTTGAGTTTCTTATTTACCTTAAAAGGAAAGTGGAATTTCTCGTTGTGAAAAGCAAGCATCCCTTGTTGTCTTACAGTGGCATCCATCAGTTTTCGCCAGTTTCTGATTCTTCTTCTTCGTGAAGAAGGTAGATCAGACAGATTTCGTCCCACCCCTTCCCGCCAGAAGAAGGTCCGACAACCTCTCCAAAAGTAAAACAAAATCAGCAACATTAAATTTACGAGATGGCTAGGAAAAATTAAAAAAATATTATCATGAGCTCCAAAATACATATATTCCACGACAACTAGCGAAGTCTCGTTTTTCTTGTTTCCACCTTTACGCCATAAATCACTGATATGGTTTCCTGAAGAAAATGTGCCGACAGTGTGATAAAATGTCCATTCCTTCGGGATTTTTTAAATACAGCCACACTTCATCATCCGTTATCACCATCGTCGTCATCATAGTCATCATCACATCTTCACTAATACTTCACATCATGGCAGACTGTCGCGAAGCAAAGACTGCAGGGTCTGCAGGTAGATTTTCACTCGTTGTTGTTTTGGTGCGTGAGCTCCAACACTGACTTCTGTATCTGTATGTTTACAGGCTGAAGAATAACATTGAAGCAGCAACCTCCCTCTGTGCTGCAGAGAGGAGCAGAAACGAACCCCATCCCCACACAGTCTGAAGCAGCGAGCTGACAGAGGCTGCTGTCCAAGGTGCTGATAATCACGTGACGTGGATGCCACGTGCAGGTACAATATATGCTTCTGGAGGAAAGAAAACCATTATAGTAAGAAACATTGGGTGTGAGTATGTGTGTGTGTTTAATGTGTCATAAAACTCAAATAAACGCTCAGGTTTGTTTGTAGGGGAGATTGTTTATTGGGGATTTTTTAAATAAACACAGACCTGTTCCATCATCAGATAGTCTACAACCTGTAAGTAATTTATACTTTCTCTTTATTCAAGCACATGACTGTAGTTGATTATTGAGTGACAGTTCTATACTTACCAGGTCCTGTCTTCTTTCAATACAAGTTACAGTAAACATTAATTCTGCAAGAATACATTTAGGCTACAATATAGGCTTTTCAAAACATTTATTTCAGTTCTAAATAGCCTATGTTACATCTAAACTCAAGTGCTTGAGAACATAATCGTAATAATCATAATAATGATCGTTATAAAGGGTGTAAAAGTAAAACTTTTTTTCTCCAGAAATCGTCGTATGTTGATTTGATGGCTTGTTTTTAAAATCTGATCGGTCTTTATATGTGTCAAAGGCCAATAAGACAGTAAAAAAACAAGCTCATGAACAAAATAGCCAAAGAAATAAAACTAAATAGGTAACTGATAGTGATTCATTAATTGATGCTGTTTAGTTTACTAATACAGAAACATCCAAACAAAAAGGATGATGATCACATGTGTTAACTTTTTAATACAGAGTGGAAGTTACACTTGCGTTTTGTGTTTAGTGGAAGCAGCAAGATGAAAATATGGCGGTGAGAAGGACAACTCACCTGCCAAAACAACATACATTAGGAAAAATTTGCAGCAAATTCAGAAATGACATACATTCAAAAAGTCCCAAACAAATGCAACGACTGAAAAGTCCTGCAAAGAGCCAAAACAATCGCATTAACATCAAACGCTCTTCAAATAGCCTACATAAATGATACACGATCAAAAAGAAATATTCAGAAAAAAATATCTGCATTAAGAGAAAACTGAAAATTCAGACTTCAAGGGAAATGCTCATTGTCTGTAGGGGCGCTCAGTGGAGGAGTTTATTTTTGACAGGAGCTAGAGGGACGAGGAAGTGGATGTTTTGTTTGGATGAGAAAGAAGCGAAGAGAGAAATGTTAATACTACAGCAACTAGGACCTCTGGATCTACAGAGACACACACTTTAGTATATCAGAACCGCTGATGTAATGAGTAACATCTTTTCCTGATATGACCTGAAAATAACTAATAAAAAAATGAGTCAAACTGATTCTGTTTCGTGAGACACACCAGTCCACAAGTCCACTAGTCACGATTTTCTGCTTTGACATGCTGAATTCAAGAAAGTAGACATCTTGCATTTGTTTAACTAAAGAACATCTACAGAGGAACAGAAATCAACCTTTCCTGGATGAATAAATCATTTTGAGAATATCAGCCCATTTGTCCTTTTTCTGGTTTGGTCTGCTTGTTAACTTGTCAGATATTTGATTAAACTGATAATAATGGTTCACATTATATAAAGAGCCATAAGACTACCAACCTAACCAATGACAAGGGATTGTTTTATTTCAAGAACTCAAAAATGAATCATCTGAATTTGCTTGTGTAGCTTTCATGATTTGATGAGATTTCTTAAAGATATGAAACAACAAAAGTCTGCAAAAAACATTCCTTAATTCATTAATCCAAAGAGTGACCACTATGAGCTCCATTTGTTTTATTTACACTTTATCCCCACTGTTTTTTTTTTTTATACATTTAGAATTTAATCAATATTTTTTATGAATTAAACTATTACCCAAATATGAAAAATGTTGAAGAATAATTAAAGTCTTATCTCTTTTATTAGAGCGGATAGACTTGATATGGTATAAGGAGATGCCTTTATTTAATTTATTGTACAATAGATTTGTATTTTTATAAATCATCTTGTTTTCTATTTAAGACATTTTTTTGAATCCCCCGGGGACAAATAACGGCACTTTAAATTGAATTGAATTGCGTTGGTGAACCTTTGAGGAAATGTTTACCAAGTTTCGTTTTGTGTTACCATTCCTTTCTTGTATTACAAATCATATTTATTTTAACAGAGTTATTTTGTTGATTTTGTTTTACTTTGGGGGTTTGAACTCATCAATGACATCATTAAAGTAAAATTAATTAGATGTAAACAGGACAATGGTTCAAATATTTTGTTGTTACATTAATGAAAATTACAAATCAAATCAAATTGTTCTGCTTTATTAAAAAAAAAAAAATAGCAAGGCTTCCATTGTTTTGGGACTATTTGTCACTGTATCTCAATTTCCCAATTCGTTTGTCTCTATGTTTTCAATCCCCTCATCAATCCAGCCTAACTTAAGTATTGTTTACTGAATTCTGTGACTGTAGGCCTATATATGGATGGTATATGGTTGGTACTTAAGATGAATTGAACTAAGAAATAATGAATGTGTCCTATACAAATAGATCTAATTAGAACTATTTTCAGCACCTATAAAATCAAAATTCAGATGTAATATATGTCTTTATAATAGAAGCTTATAACATAACTGTTTTCCGATTAATTGCATGTAACCTGGATTAAATCATTATTGACACTTTGAGCAGTTTCAGGTCTCAGACATGACAATGTTCTGTATAGATTTAAGCTCCGCCCTCGAATTGCTAGAAGCAACAGGAAGCGACAACCCCAAAACTATTGCAGGAAGACTGGAGGAAGAGACAGAGGAGGCCGAAATCAAACGGGGCAACAAAAAAAAAATTGGTCACTTTACATCAGATCCACTGCCGGTCTGTAGGTCTGCACCAACCTCAGTCTGGACCCGACCTGCCCCTCCCGAACCCGGGTCTGAGAGAGTTAAGACGTGGCACATTCATGAGTATGTCCTCCTCATAGAGCTAAAGAAAGCTTCACCTGCCTCTCAGAAGAAACAGACGAGGTAAGAACAGTATGAAAACTGGGTGTTGCATGAAAGTGATTGAGATCCATGCGTGTCACACAGTGTCAGCTTAATGTAGGCTAATGTGACTAGATGTTGAAATGCTGAAATGCAAAGTTAGCTGGTGGTGATTCGTCTTCATCCGCTCCTGTTGTAGGCCAGGCCTACTTTTACGCCTTTTCTCCCCTTTCCTCACTACGAGTTATTTATGAGTGAGAAAGTTGTTGCTTCACTTTTTGAGCCGTTTTTATTGAACAAAGTAGCGCCATGGAGGAGCACCACGTGTTGCATAGAGAGGGCTTTCCTTTCCGTATGTGCTGCTGGCCTGTTTCTCTCTACCTCCGCCCACCGGCCTGCACAATGTGGGAGAATGGGAGATACATCTGAGCTCCAATCTGTGTTGACTTCATACACTGTATCATACCATTTTATTATACAGTCTGTGGTTTAAATCAAGAGTGAAAGGTGTTTCAGGTTAGTGACCGCAGTGTTGGGAGACAGCAGGGGAACTTCCAGATGTTGAAGGTAAACAGTAAACACCACATCAGACCCGATCATTGAATATGCAAAATTACAGATTATTCTGTCATCCCCGCTGTATCCACTGTCGGTCATAATTTACCAAATGTTATACTAAAAAGTTGTTATGTTATTCGAAAATGATGAAACACAATCATTTTGGAATTCAAGCAATTGAAATGTCAAATTAGTATAAGATTTAAAAAAAAAAAAAAAAAAAGATTAAAATAGATTTCTGTGTTTCTCTTCAGGCTGTGTCTGTGATTCTGAAACCTGTTTGATGTTGTGGCTGTTCTCTTTCCCACAGCATGTAGACACAGTTGGACTGAGCGAAAAGTTGCACAATCACATCTTGTGTGTGAGCGATGGTACTCATAGTAGGACTGCTCATATATGGCAAAAAAAAATCATACTCTCAAATATATTTTTAATTGAGATCATCATTATTAAACACGATTACTAATTGATTCTACAACATTAGCATCACATGCGTTTATCGAACTTAAACACTCTTTAACTCTTAAACATTGGGAACACTTTGAAGCACATATAAATATATATCTAAATAAATAAAAATAAATTGACTGTGTTTTTGACGTAGTGGTTTTGTACTCTTGTGGCCAAAATATAACAACAAACACATTTATCACACATGACAACACTTTGGACAAAACAAGGGCAACACAACATGCGTCACAGTAGTCGTCTAATCTCGATTCTCATGTTTTTCATGATCGTGGGAAGCCAAAATCATAATTAAAAATGGAAACTCCTTTAATTTCCCAGCACTAACTCGTAGTCTACTATCAGAGGTGTTGGGTTTTCTCTCAGAATAAAATAGAATTACATCTTATCAAAATTAGGGGTTTTTTTGTATCTGAACTTTTAGAGAAGAATTTTATTAAGGGCAACAACTATTTATTGTGAATTAATTGTATTAGTTATAATTTGTTATCGAAAAATGTGAATTAATTGGTTCCTGTCGGTTGTATTTAAATCCATATAATCACTATTAAAAGCTTGTTTAAGCTGTTGAAGTTCACTGTTTGTTGTTCCGTGTTAAATCTGGGATCAAAGCTGTCTGAATAACTTAAATGCAACAACAGTGGCGTATTGAGTTTGACTTTATTACAGTATGTTAATTTAAAACCATAAAGTATAGAGATTTGACTTACAACACAAGCTAAAGAGTTTTATCCACAACACTGGTTGAATACTTGATGATTCAAAATGATTAAATGATTCATCTGGATCTTTTATTCAGTAAAGTAGAAATTATACATCAGATAGATCATTCTTCTATGCCTGGAGTTTGTTTTTATGTGAGAAAGTGTGAGAATTTAGAGCAATATCTCATTATTAATAATGTACCAAGATTAAATACCTTTTGATATTTTGAAGACATGAAAATCCAGGGTGAAAAAAACCACACAGTTTCCTGGATGCAGACTGTTCTGTTCACGTCTACCAATGAAAGCTTCACCGAGAAAAAATACTGTTGGCAATAATGTAAGACCATACTTAGAGAAGTTTTTATTTTTTTTATTCAGTTAATTTTAAGTACCTTTCGATTCTTGTGGTCACGATTCGATTCAGAATCTATATTCCATTCAAAACAATCTGGATTCATTGATCCATGGATTCAAAGTCTATTTTTTGAATTAGTACATACTTCAGGATCTACTCCAGTCATCTGTTAGACTGGCTGAATTTCTTGTTGCTCCATTTGGCATTCTGCTGAGTTAAAGAGCTAGCCTTAGCACTTAGCAGGGAGGGACTGATTAGCCAAAAAAACCAAATAGATTGATGTAAAATCTCAGAAGAGAACAATCTCGATTTTTTTTTCTTCCCACATCTAGCTTTAAAACAAAATCATTTGACAACAGAGATCTTTCTCTGTAACATTTGAGAGATTTTAATAGAAAATGAATAAAGGCTACCACTAAAAGTAAAATTACAATCTGTTTGATCGCTAGAATAATTATGAAGTAGTTGTAATACATTTTAAATCAGGCTACACATCTTAAGAAATGAAACCTAATGGTGGCTCATTGTAGAGGCTGCATAAAGGAGATGTCAAAATCAAACAGTCGGGTGTTACACAAGCATTGGTAGTATGTTTATGTTTTGCTGATGGAGTTTTTTGTTTCTTTTTTTTTTACAGTAAAGATTGTTAAGGTTTTAGCTACAGTTTATTTCCTGGTTCAGTTTTGATCTGATCATTGTTTGAGTAATGTGTTTTTTCTTGCTGACTCACAGGATTGTACACTGCTCTTGTCTGCAGACACTCTGACTCAACTTTTTTTTTTTTTGTGTGAGTGGAAGAAATGTGGTGTGTTTTCGATATGAATTATGCAATGTTCCACCTCTTGACTATATACCTCATCTAGAATTGTGGTTTTGGCTGCATGTGAAAACTCACAGTCATGTGTAGGCTGTCAGTTTCATGTTCACTTTGTTCAGTATCTAATCCGCCATTTTATTCCAGCAATATTTAGTTTCATAGCTTTATAAACCAAATATTTTCTGAATGGTAGTCACATAAAAATATTTAATTTGCCAACATTTATGTAATAGGCATCACATTTTACCATTTTAGAAACCTTTAATTATTTTACTGCTTAAAAAAGGATTCAAAGGATTTATTACATCTTAAACATTTCTGACAAATATATGTCATTCCCCTCTCTCTCCCCCCCGGTTTCATACTCTCTTCACTGTCTTTTCAAATGAAGGCAAAAAGGCAAAAAGCCCCCAAAATAGTTGTTTGTTTAAGAAAACAACTGAAATAGTTTCAGCTCAAGTCACGTTCAGATTTGTGATTGTTGTGTCTGTGCTGAAGGAAACTGACATCAACTTGAGTTTCACATTCAGAAAAATCCCATTTCAGTTTTGACACGTCACATAAGGAAGATTGTTGGAAAGGTATTATGAAAATGTTTCAATTTCAGTACAAGCACGTTAAACGCATAAACAAAATTAAAGTTACAGATAATTGAATTGAAAGTTGTTGTCTTGTTTTCATTAAAGCATTATTAAAAAAAAAAAATTAAATAGCTACAGCACATGGTTGACCTACCGCTGAAATCTTCCCACCTATTTGTCAGAAATGTAAAATATACTAGACTAATCTAAGCATGCACCTTTAACCTGCAGAGGAGTGCTCTCACGATAGAGCTGTCACTGTTTGTCTTTGTTGACAGACTCCAGACTGCATTCTGGATTTCATTATACTTCACAGATGGACCTGAGAGTTATACAGAGCAACAACAGGCTCCATAATCATGTCCCATTTGGTTTCCTGTCTGCACTTCAGTCTGTACGCAAATGCTCCTTCTCTCTCTCTCTGTCTCTTTCTGCATCCACATAATACTTTGACGTATTATTTGAGTAATATTTAGCACGTTCATGTGTTGGCTACAGCGTGTTGGCTACAGCGTTACCTTGTGATTAAAAAGCTCTGACACACATGGAGCTCAGATGGCCTAGTGGTTAGGCTACCCCCAATTATTGGAGGCTATCAGCCACCTAGCGGGTGATTCGGGTTCCAATCCGACCTGTGTCTTCTTTCCTTCATGTCATTCTCGCCTCGATTTTCTACTACTCCATTGTCCTACCAAAAATAATCTAAAAGGCCAAAAGTTTATCTTGAATAAAAAAAAAACCTCTGACACACTGAAGTATTACAGGAGGGGTGTAGAAGAATACATATTGATCAACAATGGAAAAAAAAACATGCACAAAATCTTTATGGCCAAAAATCCAAATCTGTGATGTGAAGAGAGAAAGTTAAGAGTTCATACACAGTCAGGATTCCGGTTGTTGTTACTATTTTTGTTGTTGTTGTTGTTGTGTAGGTACAGCTTCAATGACGATGAAAGTGGGTGTTGTTCAAACAGAACCATTTACTGCTCATATACATATTAACACTATGACAAAGGACAAATTCATTTATTGACCTACTTATCTAGGTGACATGTACCAAATGATTTTGTGAAAGGTCATTTTGTTACTTTTTAACAAAACAACTCAACCCTTGTGGTCATGGTAGGCAAGCCAAGTTTATTTATATAGAAACATTTCAACAACGAGGCAATTCAAAGTGCTTCACACAAGACATCAAAACCATCATGACAAAGGAAAAAAAAAACATCAAAATAGAAAATGTAAAAACACTTCAACGAAGAATTCACAATCACAGAGGAGGAGCTTGACAGTTCTATAAACTGTTTTCCAGGCCTGCATGGGGATGGTATAGAAAAAAGGAATATGTCTATACTGAACAAATGAACAAGAGTATTTTCTAATGTGCTTAAAAAAATAAAATAAAAAAAATAACGTGCATCCATTAAACATACAAATTAGAGGCGCTGGTTTAGCTCAGTTGGTAGAGCGGGCGTCCCGTGTCCAGAGGCTACAGTCCTGCTCACACTCTACACAGATTCTACTCCAGATCCTAATGCTGTTTGTCTCATGTTTCTCTAAAATAAAATAAAGGCCAAAAAGCCCCCAAAAGGTCTTAGAGAAACCCTCTGTTAAGATAAATTCTGGATAATTACAAGAAAGTCAGTTTTTAAACAAGTCCTTTTTCTGTGGACATCATGATACATAATTAGACTACCATGTGAATGATGGCTCAAAAGAGAAATTCACAAAAGGGAAGTACAAGAAGTCCAGAATTCAGCAAAATTCAAGAAGTATTTGGTAAATAAAATAAGGTGAATACATTGATCTGTGTTTAATTTGACACATATTAAACCAATGTCATGAAAAATGAGGGCATAAAAATACACCAGAAAACAGGAAATAAAAACACACTGGGATCAGGGGGAGTGGGGTTGTGAAGAAGACATTGAAGTTATGAACAGCATGTTCTGAATCCACTCTGGGAAAACCCTGGCCTGAAGGCAGCAGAGGTAGGAGGAAGCATACATTACATGAAATGTCACTTGTGCAAAAAGACAGGTATTAATGTTGAGTGGGATGACATACCAGGTGTTGGGACCAAAGTAAAGGCTGAGACTTGAACAAAGGGAACTCAGAGTTCTTGATGCTCTCTCTGGTTGTGTCTTCTGCCTGTCACAAGGTTTGATGGATGGATGGATGGTGATGATGGGGAGGACAGTTGTCCGGGTTGTATGGTTAACGGTGCTTCCTGTGCTGCAGGATTGGCTGCCAGAAGTTTTGCGTTAGGTGAATTTGCTTTAAAATGGCAGCTCATTCATTGAGTCAATTGACTCCTCTCAGGAGGTCAGACACTTTGTCCTGATGCTTCTGAATTAGAAAGCATTTTGGATAATGTAGAAGAGCATTGATGAATTCCACTCTGAATAAAAATGTGTCCTATATTTCAACACTTTGCCCCCAAAGTACCTGGAAAGCTGTTAAGAGGCTGCACTCTAATAAAGGCCAGCACAAGCAGCAGTAAAATGTTGTGCACTTAGCTCCAAGTATAGTTAACTCCTGCTTCTAAAAATATAAAGAGGAGTGTCATTTATTCATTAGTTCAATGTAATGTTTAAAACGTTTTAATTAACAATAGGTCATGTGACTTTGTGTAAGAGAGAGGGCACTTGGGTTTATAAACCAACAGGAATCAGCTGATACGAGCAGTGCAGCTCGTATCAGCTCAGTCGAGCTCATTTTTCTGTTCACTGTTATGGTTTTACACGTCACTACTTTCACCCTCACTGATATCATGAGTCACAATCACCTGGACCAGAGAGATTTAATCCAAGTAAAGAAACTCTCCTAGCTGGTAAACACTATAAAATAGTATAAATAGCTTCTTTAAAAGTATTTTTACTGCTTTAAACCCTTCAGCATACATACTCAAACACCAGAGGCCAAACTCATGGGAGTGATGTGGTCTTGCACAAGGGCACCTCGACATGTGGGCTGGGGAAACTGGGGATTGTACCATCATTCTCCAACAAATGTGAGAATCCCTGAAGATTGGTGGAACATTTATCAGCCTCAAGAAACTACCCTAAGGAGTCGGTGGAAACTAGGGCTGAAAAGCTTAATCGTAAAATCGCGATAAATCGATTCAAAGGTGTCAAGATTAACATCGGTACTCTGAAAAATGAATTGCAATAATATCGTCAAGCAGCTGCAGAGCAATTGAGGACGCACCGCCGTCTTTTAAATCGAAGGTGTGGAAGCATTTCGGCTTCCCCAAGACAGAAAATGAAAGAGGTGAGAAAATAACAGACAAGACAAAAACTGTGTGCGAATATTGCAAGAAGACGGGGAACTACACAAATAGCACAACCAACACGATGCAGCATTTAATCGACACCGACTCCCCTTGTTGCGAGAAAAAAAACATTAAAAGGCCAAACCACACTGACGTGGGTTTGCAGCCCCTAAAGGAATCTTTTTCAGTCATAATTTGTCTACAGGCTCATTTTGTAAACTAAATTGTAATGTGAACCCAGTATCGTGAAACGTATCATGAGTTGAGTGAATCATTACATGTCAGTGAAAACCAAAACAGAGCTAAAAGAAGAGCGGTTATGAGACTGTCATCGCCATGTCGCCAGAAAAACAACTGTGTCTGCTGGAAGGGTATAATAAATCTTGTATAAAGACATCAGTGTAGTTTTTTTTGAAGTTGGAGTTAGTTTTTCATCAAGGAGCAGCATGTTCCTGATGATGATGATTAGCTGAACTTGACCCAAACAGATGATATTGAACCAACTTTTCTGAGGCTTTCATCAGAACACAGTATGTTGTTTTTATAGTGTTAGGTCATTCTTGGAAATCGGGGATGAATGGGGTGCTGATGGATTAATGAAGAGAAATATATGTATATCACCCACTACTTAGAGCTGAAACAGTTTTTACTTTCGATGTACAACTACTTAGGCCCTGTCAGCTTTGTAGGTAGGTCGTTGATCTGTGAAGTGTGCTGCTATTTGATTGTGTAAACACCATTACTCTGACCACTTTATACACATAAAACAATCTGCCCCACAGGGGATACACTGCAGTGAAAAACAGCTCTTTCAAACTCTGTTGAGTTAAGTGTTAAAGCACTTTGTCTTGTTGTTTACTGTACTGTAATACTGCTACTGAGAACTTCCATGACATTTTCCAGAGAAGGGTCAGTGGTTTACTGATCCCTACATCACTGCTTTAAGTGATCACAAAATGAAGGTCTGCTCCTCGCTCCAACACTCCTCCTCCTCCTCCTCCTCATACTGTTGCATACATCTCACTGCAGATCTCTTTGAATTAAACTCAGTGCTAACAAGCTGAGGTCAATTTTAGATGCAAAAAAAAAAAAAAACTTTCAGTCCTCATATGCAACTTTAAAAAGTACAAACATTGCTGAACCTTTGCTAAGTCTGCACACAAAATAATAAGAAATGGCATGTAAGAAACGTATGACTGCGACAAAGTTAGCCCAATTTAACAGATGACGTAATCACTTCTCTTTGATAGCACATTAAAAAAAGTGGTTACAGTAGCAGTCGAATAGTTTTGCAAGTCAACTGACTTTCTGTTATACTGTAATTTGTATAAAGAAATAACTACTAGTAGTTTCTGTGTAAGTGTGCCAGACTTTTTTTCAAAATGCTTTCCCCCTAATGTTTGCTTTTTAGTTTTGGAGATATCAGTGTACCAGTGTAATCGATTATCATTATATATGCATTATTACCTTTCATCCCCTCGTTATTCTAATTTCAAATATTTGTGGACTATTTCTCCTGCTTTGTCTCTCAGTCTGTTTGATCTTTGCCATGGCTAATGCCGCCAGCCTCCAGTATGAGCCAGTGGCAGAGATTGGAGGAGGCGCTTACGGGACGGTTTATAAGGCCCGAGACACGGAGAGCGGACAGTTTGTGGCTTTGAAAAGCGTCCGTGTCCAGACTGACCAAAACGGCCTCCCGCTCTCCACAGTCAGAGAGGTGGCTCTGCTGAGAAGACTGGAGCAGTTTGACCACCCCAATGTGGTCCGGTAAGTAGAAATCATGTGTTTTTAAAGCTTTTGTCTTTTATATTATCACCTCCTGCTGAAGTTTTCTTTTTTGGTAAACATGACAGGTTAATGGACGTATGTGCCACCCAGAGGTCAGATCGGGAAACTAAAGTCACTCTGGTGTTTGAACATGTGGACCAAGACCTCAAGACGTACCTTGAGAAAGCCCCAGCCTCAGGACTGTCACCTGGGCACATTAAAGTGAGAACTTACTGAAATAATATCTTAAAAAAAGCTTGAGTTGTTTTTAAAAAAAATCTGTTTTGAAGCATGCGTTTTTTAAAATATTTAGTTTCAGTTTAAACTTGGCTGTGTGTTTTTCAGGACCTGATGAGGCAGCTGCTGTGCGGTGTTGCATTCCTGCATTCAAACCGTGTGATGCATCGAGACCTGAAACCAGAGAATATTCTGGTGACCAGCCAGGGCCAAGTGAAGCTTGCTGACTTTGGTCTGGCCAGGATCCACAGCTGCCACATGGCCCTCACTCCTGTGGTAAGAACTCACCTGGTGCAACAACAAAAAAAAAGAAACAGATGTCGTGAAGTGTTTCAAGTGTTTTCAAGAGTGTACTGTCAATATGTTTGAAGTTTAAAGTCGGCTGCTGGATTTTATCACACAAGTTCTTACCCAAAATACCAAACATTTGCACCTGTAAATTGGTTTTAGATATTTGAATTATCATACAGGGTTATGCACTTAAATTCCTTAATGATGATTCATTCAATTTCTAATCTGCTACCAGATATCATTCTGAGTAGAAGACGCTAACTACTTCAAATTACTCTTTATTTAACACTAGTGTCCGTGTTAGCTTATCACCTGTATTCTGTGTTTAATTCTCTGACAGTATGGTATTTTTATATAGCTTCTTTTTTCTTTAGAAGCTTAGTGCAAACTTTATATTATTCATATTAACAATTTTAAACAAGTGTAAGATTCATTCACAGCCATGCTAGCTGCTCTGAGGAGCAGCTCTTTAGCTACATAACTTCAGAAAGCTAAATTGCTGATAATGAAGAAGTAGACATGCTTATCATTCTCTGAATTGCCCCCCAGGGACAAATCAAGTTTTTTTTTTTTTCGGATTTGAAGTTTATTTTATATGCTTTTATTTGCTAGGTTCACCAATCTGGTTTAGCCTGTTAGCATGTTAGCATTTTGTAATAACTTGATTTTTAAATTAAGCACATTTGAAAATCTATGGTTTGCTTTTGGAAATGGTCAGCAGAAATGCAGCTCATGCACATAGATTTGTTTTGTTAACAGGTTCAATCGTGCAAGAATGACCTATTGTCTTAATTTCTTGTAATCTGTACGCCAGTGTGGTTCTGTATTTATGTTCCCGTGTCCTTTATCCTCCCTCTCAGTATCCTTTTAGTCACTGATTGTTCCTTCACTTGCGTGTCAATCATTTCTTCCGTCCCCTGTTGATGGACTCCATGTTTGTGTCTCTCAGGTGGTCACGCTGTGGTACCGACCTCCTGAGGTTCTGCTGCAGTCCAGTTATGCCACGCCTGTTGACATATGGAGCACCGGCTGCATCTTTGCAGAAATGTTCAGGCGCAAGTAAGTCAGCAGAATCATACCAAATGACCCCTCTATATGTACGTTTTTCATTCTAATCCGGAAATTGTGAATCTTTATTCTGCACATCTATCATGTAAGGGTGACTAGGATGTAACAGGGCAAAGCAAAGGTCCAAGGCTAATGTTCAGCCCCTTTTTCGTTGTGAGGTTTACTTTACTGAAACACTTTGTGATTAAATATTGACACAAATGTCTTGTCCCTTCTGATGTTTCAAAGTAGGCAGTGACTTTGAATTTGACCAAGATCAGATCTTTCCCTCGTCTCAACAACAACGTAAACATGTGGTGTTCCCTACCTGATTTGTGTTAAATTGATGGGATTTGTAGAAAATAAAACACACAGTGAACAGTTTCCAGATATACTGTACAAGTATTCACATTTGCATATCCTCTGACAGTTTTGAGAGTCGTTATGTGTGAATGTAAGTCAAAGGATTCTGCTCGGACTCTGCAGACGTTCATGTGATAGGGCTGTCAGATCCCAGATCAGCTTAGAGCCAGTACAGTGACACCAACAGCAGCATCATCTAGTGGTAAAAAAGACACATTGCATGAAGACAGTGGTCAACTTGAAGAGTTCCATGCCTCAAAATAGTTGCCTTGGAGACAGTTTGTATAATTGGTACTGATTACGTACTGCAATGATGCATTAAAAGGTCCAGAGGCACAGTTACAACTCATGGTATCATGGACTTGCAGTTGATCAGATCAGATGTTGTACAAACAGTAGCTTCATTGACTTTGACCAAACTGGCTAATCTGAAAATCACAGAATTTCCCCCGGGGGATTAATGACGTATTTCTGCTTCTGAAAAACATCACGCTTCTGTTTGCTCTTCTGCACTGACAGATGTTACAAAGATATGCAAACTGATGAAATGTCATCTGCTTTAATCTATTTACTTTGATTCCAATCGTCTGTTTTATAGACCCTTGTTCTGCGGGGAATCAGAAGTGGACCAACTTGGGAAAATCTTTCAGTGAGTACCAACAATTCCTCTGATATTCCTCTGATTAGGAGATGTATTTTCAGTTGACTCATATTGATATTATCTAATGGAATAATTATGTCATTTTGTTATTTCAGAATGATCGGCTTGGCACCAGAGGAGGAGTGGCCGACTGATGTTACACTCTCTAGGAAAAACTTCCCTGTATTCTTACCTCGACCAATCACTGACTTTGTTCCAGAGATAAATGAGCAGGGGGCAAAACTAATGCAGGTACGACTTCACCATGAATACAAATGGAAGTCGAGGTCCAGCCTGCATGAGCATGAGTCATGATTCAGATGTTTACAGAGTTAAAAGTCATACAGATAAGCAACCTTTGCCCCAGAAGAATTTCATATACTCATAGTCTGCTGATGATCAACTGAAGTCACAAGAATTTCACAGAAGCAATGTGAGAAATTCCAAAGACTCACTAATACAGATGTTTAAACTAGAGCAGAGAGAAGGAATTACAGCACAGCTATTCTGAAGAAAAAAGTTTCTCTCTTTATTTGGATGTTCAGTGCAAGAAGCAATTACAATATGACTTTTAACGTATTGGCACAGAGTCCTGTGTACCTCTCTACTTGACTTTATTCAATGAAATATAAGAGGTGTGATTGAAGAATTTATTGAATTAATCAAATTAAATAACTAATTGTCAGTGTAGAGACATCCATCAATGTCAACACACAGAGCATTTTTGGTTTATCTGCTATGTAGAAATTGATGCAATACAGACATGAGAGTGGTATCAACCTTTTTCATAACTGTCTTAAAGAAAGCAAAAAGTACTACTCAAAATGAACTAGACCGTGTAGACCGGACAGTGACACAGTAACTTACACACTAATATCCTCTTATTCTTTCTTCCACAGGAGATGCTGACCTTCGACCCCTTTAAACGAATCTCTGCCCTGAATGCTCTAGAACATCCATATTTCCGAGAGGAGGAGACATTGACTCAGACAAAAAGCTGAAAAGATGCAGCGAAATCTTCAGCGAGAGGTAACAGTGTCTACGTTTAGACCTGGCCTAACCATAAAGGATTTAAGTTTCATTCCATGCCTTTCAAGACTTCTGGGTTGTTGCTTTGGGATATTTTATTTTTGTCACCCCTGCATCATAAAGGATTAAAGTCTGTGAGAGATGGAATAAAAAGAAGAGGAAAGGATCACTGGCATGCTTCCCAACATGTAAATGTCACAACTAATGGTGTAAACATGTCGTGTCTTCGAGGACAGTAACCAGTGGTTTTGATGTTGAATATCTGTTTGGGTCTCGTCAGCCAGGACAGATGCACAGAAACGCTTGTCATCTCCTCTCAAATGCTGCTCTTGTTGTTTTTTTTGTACCGAGTTTAGACAGAAGGAAGCACAGACGTCATTTTATCTTGTAATAGGCTGAACAAAGTGTGACAGATGACACCTCGGGTTTATGAGAGCCAGTTGTTAGTGATCTTACTGTATTTGTGTTAATATTTAAGACCATGATCCTGTGACAGAAACGGAGCTGCACCAAAATCATGAGAAAAAATAGAGAATAATAAAGAGAAAAAATACTGGTGTTCCCCTTAAATACTCTCACAAAGTGAAAGAAATGGTTTTCCTGAAATCGCCCAGCTCTGCAACAACATCAAAAACGATTAAAAGACAACATTTTTAATCACAAACTTCACTTGTGTTTTATTATGAAGATTGAAATCTACATTAAATGGAATTGTGATAACATGAAGACTACACAAGATTGTGTTTATTTCAAAGAATGATAAGAAATACTAACCAGATAAACTCACTAATCTGTTTCTTACTCTAATAGTGACTACACTGACAGATTGTGATTGTCAAAGTCAGGGAGACATGTTTATTTTTTTTTTTGGTTTCTCTGATTGAATTGAATTCCCTGTCTCACTCAGATTTGTCCAAAGTACACACAAAAAAACAATCTCAAACTAGATGCATGAGGGCACCGGATAGCCTAGTGGTTATTTCGCGTGCCCCATGTACAGAAGCTTTAATCCTCACTGGAGTCGAATCTGACCCCGGCCCTTTGATGCATGTCATGCCCCCGCTCTCCACCCCCAACATTTCCTGTCTCTCTTTATCTGTCCTATCCAAAAATGGCCCCAAAAATATCTTAAAAACTAGATCTGTGATCAGTTCTATGTTAATACTAGTTCAATGTTTGAATCATTCAAAATATTCACGATCATAAATCTTATGAATAATCGAATACAAAAAACTCAAATATCCTTCCATATAATTTTTTTGCAAAAATCATTGGCCAACATTAAACTATATTTTAACATTAGACCTTGACTTGACCATGACTTAGGCTGACTGATGTTGAAGAATAAGTTTAACATTCGGGGAACATGTTAACCGGCTCTTTATCTTGAAGATAGATTGAAAAACATCCACCTTGTGTGTTATACTTTATCCTATTTGTTTAATCCACACAAACCATGATGTAAAACATGCCTTGTCGTGTTCTTATGTGCCATTCCTGCTATATTCCCTTTTCATATTTTAAGTTCTTCAATGGAAATGTATGTATGTCATACATATTTGTTTGTGAACTTTCATGTGCTTGTAGATGGGTTCTTTATACAACACTTCAACAGAGCTAGACTGGCTGTTTGCCCATGTTTCCAGAATTGGTACAAGGCTTTGTTAATGGGCCGCCCCAGCTGCATATTTAACTCAACATTGAAAACATAATTGCCGTAACATGTCCCTTAAGAAGTGAAATACTCAACCAGCAGAAACTGACTTTATCAAAATTAAGCTTAAACTGTTATGAATGTCACACTTTTCTTCAAAATAGACTATTTGTTGGCACAATCGCATCAATAAAGCACACCCATTTATTAATATTAAGTGTATTTTGAAATAAAATAGATGGTGCAAATAATCTTCCCCATGCTGAGTTTGGGATCTAAAAATGTAACCTCTTATTTCTTCCATGTTTCTGACCTAAAAAGAACCACAGTCTTGTCTTAAATCAAAAAAACTTGCTATGTAAAATATTCATGTGCACACATAATCTTTATCCATTTTCCAAAGCAGATATTCACATCTTCTATTTTTGCATAGCGTCTCCACCCTCTGAGGTTTAGTCTAATCTTGTTTGATGTGGTTTGATTGCTGCAAAATATTCATGTCATTTGTAAAGGATCTACAAACTCATATTTATCTGAAAGAGTGGCTAAAAAATGCCAATTAACTTGATTTTTTGAATCCTTTTCAGTCAGGTTAAAGATGAGGAGACACGGAGAGAAGAGGGAGAAGCCGTTTCTTAGTGAGGAGATATTTTGTGCATGTTTTAGCAGCAAGAAGATGTTTTCCTCCCTCTCCTCATGTTCTACAGCCTTTTCATCAAAACCCAAATGAGTTTCAGTTTGTTCCCTGTGTAATGACATACTAAGTGATGGCAAGTGGAAGCATCAACACTGTTACATCGGCAACCATTGTATCCTCTTTGCATGAAGCTGCTTCTGCTTTCTCTCCTGTAACAATGACCCACAGATGTCCAGGTTCCTCCTTCCAGCTTGCTCTCCCCCTCAGAGGGGACAGGCAGTGTGGCAGGAGGAGGAAGCTGAAGCTGCTCATAAATTGCTTTGAAAAAAAAAGGGAGAGAGGAGAGCTGGAGACAGAGCAGATGCATTGGCAGGAGAGGCTTTTTTTCCCCCCACCTCCTGTCTCTTTTGTTGTGTCGGCACAGATAAAAACCTGATAAACCCTTGCAAGGTTGACCGTCATCAGCATCACCACCACCTCATTGTGAGCCTCATCCTTAGTCTGGATCGGATGCGGAGCTGGTTGTGAGACAGGCTAACAGCAGCGGGCTAGCAGGGGGGCTGCAAGGCTCTGAGGCAGCAAGGAGAGGAGGTAAAAAAAAAAAAAAAAAAGGAGGGAGGAGGGGCTGTAGTGAGCTGGTGGGCTTCCTCTGCCTCACAGACACATTTTATTGACTTGCTAATTGGATCAGGCGCTCCAAGAAGAGGATGCGGTGAACGAAAGAAGCTGCTCCCCAGAGGAAGGATACAGGCACAAGGAGGCATTGAAATCTGGCTACTTCATCATCTTTTTTCTGTTTTTTTTTTTACACCCCAAAAAATTCTGGAGACATAACAACAGATGTTTTTTCCTGCATCTTTCTGTGACCCTCGCACCGTTCATACATAATTTTATGCATGACATTGTCGAATGGAGGCTCCAGCTGCTAGACGCTTCGTGACAAGTGAATGATTTCCATTTCAGTGTATTTTTGCAACCTGTTCTCTTTCACCGGTTTTCCCCCCCCTTCTTGGACTCATCATCTGGAGGCTCCCTCAGCCTTGTTGGATATGAATGGTAATCTGATGGTGAGATAATCCTCACCACAAATCAAATGTACAAGGGACTGTGGGATGGATATCCTTTTGGAAAAATGAAGGTACGATATGAGCAAAAGCAAAGACACACAGTGGAGTTAAGTGGGATTAATCTGCCAATATTCATTGTAGTCCTTGTCAAAAGATGGATCAAGCTAATGTATTGACTGTTGCATAATTCCAGCCTGGCATCAACACAGGAAAAAAAATAGAAATGTCTGCTTATTTCGAGTCTGCATGTCAGATCAAAACAGAATCAACGATTTTTAAAAGGATAGCTGAGAGAGAGAGAGGGGAGGATTATGAATGAATCAGTGATAAAGAGAAGTAGTAGCGGTGTGCATTGAGGAGGATTAATGGAGGCATTAAAAAAATTGGTCTAGACTTGTTCCACCTCTGGGTCAGCATTTTGAATATATTCTTGGCATTTCCAACCCAAAACATCTCTCTTCTATCGTTGACTCTTCATGTTTTTGTTGAGAAAGAACTCACGCTTTGAGGCCTGATATGAGACACAATCAACTAAACGAGGTTATATTAGACGTCTGTGATTGATATTTTGTCTCCTCTTCTCTAGTCTTTGGTCCATGTTGTTGTGACTGAGGCGAGCAGATCTGGCTAGAGTAAGAAAGTGGCTGCCACTGTGCTGAAGCCTGCTGCCCCAATGAGCAAGGAAATCAACCCGCAGAAACGCACCACCTATCTCATCTCCCTCACTCTGGTGAAGGTTGAGGCTGTGCCAGACGATGTAGCTGAGAACCAGAAGGAGGCTCTTACAGAGGGGGAAGGGAGCCCCGAGAAGGAGGAGGAGCAGGACGTGAAGGATGTCCCTGAAAAGGAAGAAGGACCTGTGTGTACACAAGAGGAAAAAGATACCAAGCTGGTGGAGGAAGAAGAATTGGAGCAGGTGCAGGTTAAGTATGGCAGCCCCATTGAAAGCTGGGGAAAGCCTGAGAGGAGGGAAACACGTGGGCAACAAAAGGACGTATCAGTTGGGAAGAGCAAAGACACTTTTTTTGTGCACCCACCTGTTAGGCAGATGGTCAAAGTGTACGGAGGAACTACCTCTGAGGGGACCTTTCGCAGGGAGGGGCCTCGCTCGGACGCCATGCGGCCAAAGACAGAGATCTACAGGGAGCCCCCCATGTTGTATCTTAAGGGAGAAAATGGAGCAGACCTGAACAGTCGCTCACGTTGCAGCCTCCCTTTCTCTGTTCAGCAGCCGGTCAGCCAGAGACCTGAAGTCCTCATGAGGTCACATACAGGGGCAGGTGGAAACTCTGGTGGCTGGAGGGACCTCAGAGAGGCTAACACGAGCCTCTATCATTCTGCTAAGACTCTGGATCGAAGAGATAACCGTTTTGGGGACCAGTCCCCCATAGTGCCAGGTACGACTCTGGGTCCCTACAGGGCGTCCTGGGCCGACAGTGACGGCAGGGGGACACTGATTCGCCCAGGAGCACCCATGAGCGGGGGATTTTCTGGGATCATGACCAGGGACAGCCCTCAGGCAGAGAGATTTAAGACAGTTTCTGTTTCCTTCCCTGCACCTCCTGCCACTGACACATCCAGGCCTCAGAGGAAAGGTACAAGTCGTACTCTGGATAACAGCGACCTACATTCCCCCTCTGACGACCCGAGGAGGGGGAAGGAGGCTCAGGGAGGAACCATCCAGAGAGCTCCACCTCGAGACAGGAAGATGCTCAAGTTCATCAGTGGCATTTTCACCAAAAGTGCAGCTGCACCGTCCAGTGTCAACGCTGCACCGCCCCTCTATCCGGCTATGGAGAGAGGCTCGAGTGAGGAGGAAGGTAAGACCTCCTCTTAACCTGAAAACAAGTGGTGTTGCCATATTCTCAACATTTCTGCCTCATAATTTCATACATCTATTAATTAAAAGACCTGGAGTGCTGCACTTAATTAAACAAAATAAAGAGGAAGACAGTCATTAAAGAAGCAGTTTGTCTCATGAACTGACAGATCAACATTCACACAACTCTGTGGAATAGATAGAAAACTACTCTTTGATGCGAAAAACTGTCCCGTCTAGTGTTTCCCTTTACAGGCTAGAAACTAAACAACTACAAGTACTGTCTTGTTTTATTGTGATACTATTTTTATTGTCATTATGATTACTGTCTAGAGTTGTGTGGACCTGAAGCAAAGTCTTGCTCACACTTAATGTCCCTGTATGGCCCTAAAGCTCCTCAAATTCATTGTATTGTATTGTGCTGTAGATTACACAGTTGTTATACCTAACTATCAAGCAAATGTTCATCTATAGGGTGATAATTTAGATGCAAAGTGGATCTAAATTTGGCTAAAGTAAAAAGCTAAAAAATAAGCTGTTACCAGAATCAGAATCAGAAATACTTTATTAATCCCAGAGGGAAATTCGATAGTTGGATATAGTAGGATGTCTCTTTCTGTGTATGCCCATTCCTGGCATTTGGGAGAAGTGCACATGTAAACATGGATGCATGTTAATTTAAAACCTTTAATGAAAAGCATCAGTGTACAAGAGGCTGGTTTAAACTTCACATGAAGATCAAGCAGCTGGTGTATCTGCAGGTTGTCTGAGATCAGGTCTAGGTAAGATTGTTTGAAATTGTTGAAACAATTCTGTTCTCATCACCAACCTAAGCTCTCATTGTTCCTGAAATGTCATATTAAAGCTGAAAAATAATTAAATATGATGAATGTTGAAAATATTTGAAAGTCTAACAATGAGGCTGCAAAAAGAAGACTAGCATAAAAAACTATCATAAAAAATACATCTATATACTGTATACAGAATGTTAATATTAATTATAAACCATTAAAAGATGAATCATATGTTATATGTGATTGGTCATATTTCACTCCACCAAAGACTCATTTTTGAACATTGACTCAGCTTCATCGATGACATCAAAACGAAAGGAAACAATTTGCTGAAAATTCTATCAGATGACAGGAAAAAGATGAAGTATTATTATCATCCATTAATCATTCAGTCATTACTTAGGTAAAATAAAACTTTTATAAGCATCTCAAAAAGAGACATTTTGCAGCTTATCTTGGGTATCTGTTACGGTTCTCAGAGTTACTGGGGTGTTCAGACAAGAACAGGTCTTTGAAAACCTCATATTGCATTTCAGGAACTTGTCTTGGACATTTTTGTTTTTTTTCTGATAATTTAAGGACCAAAAAAAATCAATTCCACAAATTCTCAGATTCATGATATAATAGATAATAAATTCAGGTCAAACATAATTGATAGATTTACAATGAAAATGCTGCTTAAGGTATCTAAAGGTCAATTAGTTGTTTAGTTTTTCTTTCTTTTTTCAAAAAATCTCACAGTCCTAAAAAAGGTCTGTTAAGAAATGATGGTTAATAGGCCTATATAAATGTATTTTTTTTGGAAGACTAAAATATTTCAAACTAACCTCAAACCAAATAAAAACAAGAGTCAAACCTTCTGAATGTTTCAGACAAAGTTTGCACAGAAAGAACAGCTTGTTCTTTTAAGCATCACTACTACTTTGTTGTGAAAGAGAATACTCTTCTTGCCAAAATGTATGGTATATTATGATGATTAATGTGCTCACTCTCTTTCAAGCGCTGAAATTAAAAACAAACAGAAATGAGTTCAGCTTAAAAACAAAAACCTGAAAAACACTTTATGACACATTCAGTCATGTCTCTTTGAAATAAAGGAAACTACTCAATCTTTAATCTTTATTGATATCTAATAAAAATCATCTTTAATGGAGACTGTGGTAACGGAGACGGCTCTGAATAATTTGTCAGTAGTAAGTGGGACATGAATAATTAAGGTTGGGGATACACAGAGCTGTGTTCATGGTGAAGAGAGCGGGAACATGTCACTTCCTGCTCTGTGTGTGGAGTTAATCAGCCTTCAAATAGAGCCTATTCATTCGTTAAAGCTATATTTTTTTTAAGTGTTTGCAAACAGTATACTAAGTATTTTTGTACCACAAATATCAATAACATAACTGATCACATTTTTAAAGAAAATATGAATGTGTATTATCAAAACACAGGGACATTATTCCAGTCCATGTGTGCACAGGTGGACATCGTGTCTCTGTGCCGCTCATACTCGCTGCTGGATCCATGAGAGACCATTTATTGTATAGAGACCCTGGCTAGAGGCTTCTGGAAAACTGAGTTGCCATGGCAACAGCAAGCAGTGAGAGATGCTATTTGGTCTGTGCAGTGACGCTCTTGATTGAGGGGAGTGAAGGGGCGTGGGGATTGCCCAAAGATGGGGATGAAGGGGATTTTTTAAAGTTAGAATCTGTGTCCCCAGAGAGCCGGCCGACGTCTGTGTCTCCGCCCGAACACAACGTGACCCAGCAACTTCAGAGTGTGTGTGTGTGTGTGTGTGTGTGTGTGTGTGTGTGTGTGTGTGTGTGTGTGTGTGTGTGTGTGTGTGTGTGTGTGTGTGTGTGTGTGTGTGTGTGTGTGTGTGTGTGTGTGTGTGTGTGTGTGTGTGTGTGTGTGTGTGTGTGAATAAAACAGTGTTCTTCTGATCATGATTTCTGCACAGATTTTCATCTCTTTGACAGAATTATTGAGAGTGTTTTTGTCTGCATGAATCCTCACTGGCAGTCAGTATATCTGCAGGTGTGTGTGTATGTGTGTGTGTGTGTGTATGGTGTCCTTCATAACTGTGTGTGTGTGTGTGTGTGTGTGTGTGTGTTTGTTTGTTGAATCTCCAATCGCAGAGGCCCCTCAGCTGCAATTCTACTGAGGTTAGAGCTAAGGCTCTCAAAGCAGAATGTTAAGTGCAGCCTGGCAAAGATTTTCTGAGCGAGTCATTCAATAATCCTTTGAATTTAAATTTTATCTTTGATAGAGGAAATCTCATGTTTTAAGGTTTTTCTCATTTGGCTGGACTTGTTTGATCTGTTTTATTACAAGTTGTTTCAAAATACTTCTGAAGCCCTGAAAGAGAGGAGATATTTGATGATAAAGCACTGGTTGAATATTTCTTTCTGGCTAAATATGAGATCATTTGGCTTCTGATGAATATTAACTGTAATTTGTAGAGTTGAAATATATAGCTGACCTCAGAATTCAACTTGTGAGTGAGTTAGCTAAGAAATATAACAAGAACAGGCTTGATGATAGATTTAAACAGTTGTTACAGTGAAGTGAGTCCATCACTGTGACCCCAGTAAAGAGCAGCATAGATAAAGCTAACCCTGTGTACCACATTCATCAGCGCCAAATCTGATAAAAGCTTGACTTTCTACACTGCCAGTGTGTTGTACTTATCTTGACACTTGATATTAATATGTATGTGAATGTGCATCTGGGTGTGTATGTATGTACATGTATGCAGGTACGAGCGCTATCTCTTTTATAACTCTTTTCTTTATTTGCGCTTTAGGACTTGTGATTGTTTCACTTAATGTGAAGCACATTGTGTTGCCTTGTGTGTGCTATATAAATAATGTTTGACTCGACTTGACTGCTGCACAACAAACAAGCACAGCTAGCAAATTATTGTGATCACACTACTGCAGTGAAGGAGATATATTTGGTCTTAATCTTCAACTATTTATCACTGTGTCACTTGGAGCATAATGTAGGTTTTTATTATTAACAATCTGTCATCTTTTAGTCACTGACAAATGTAAGTCCTTATCACCAAAGCCAGAAATCAAAGACAAACACAACTCTATTATTGAGGCTTTGCAACAGATCCATCACCCTTGTCTTTGTTTAAATGAAAGCATTTGTCTTGATAGTGATATTTTAGTCAAAGACTATACTCTCTGAGGAATGAGTCTTTCTAATCCCTAGGGATGCTGATGTCTAACTCCACCTACATAAGATGTCGAATCACTTGACTGCATTTTTCTTCAATAATTTCTGAAAAAGTAAATTCTATTATAGCTTATCAGAAATAAATTGCACATTAAAGTAACAAAAGACAAGCAAAAGCATTTTTTTTGTTGTTGCAGATTTGAACTCTGATGTGAATCAGGCCCTTTCAAAAGTCTTTCAATCTGATTTTACCTTCTTGATACCACAAAGCCACAAGAATCATATGTCCTTCTTTCAGTTGGCACTTACTGGTTTGAAAACAGATCAACTACCTCAATGCAGACATTTGAAACCTTTTTTTTTTTTATAGATTTATACAATACAGAAATAAATGAATGACCTGCAAGGAGACTACTGAAAATAACAGGCACACATGTGGATTGTCTAACACTATTATACTAAACTAAAGCTAGCTGGCATGGTTATAAAACTGTTTAGAAGTTGCATAATTGTACACCACGATGAATATCAGGGTGCTCTATACAGTCTCACTCCGCTCACTGTGGTCCACAGTCAGTCTGACTAAATCTGGCTACCAGTAGGCTATTAGGCTACAAAACCAGCATTATTAATAGGGTACTTTTAAAAAACAAAGTCATTAAAATCGCCAAATGTAGACAATTAGTGCTATATCAACTTCAACGCGTGTTTATTTTCAAAAATAGGTGTAGACTAGGCCTTTTCAGATTAGCACGAACACTTAAAGCAGGAGTACTGTTAGCCTAGTTAGCTTCCCTAAGTAAGAAACCAGTTTAGGCTTTGCTCAGTGTTGTAAAGATGCATACACTCTAAACGTTAATTCACTTATAGTTTGGTGACTAATTTGGATATATCATGTTAAAAAGAACAGTTTCAGGGTTGATAACGTTTCGCTTGCCAACCACTTTTGTTGTCATAGCTAGCTGTCTATCTAAAAGTAAGATAATAATTATGATGATAATTGTTTAAATACTCAAATGATGCTTAGCTGTTTCTATCCTGCCCTGCCCCCCCCCCCCCGATAGTTTCTATCTCTATACTTTAAATCTTTACTGTCTAAGTATATTTCTCAAGTTTGATGAATAAACATCCTCTCCTCCTGTTTTGCTTTTAATACTCTCCCCTGCAGCTGTGTGCACAAGCAGTCAAGAATGGACCATGAGCCAAACGATACAAGAGCTTCACCTGGTGAGCATTAGGACAAATGTTTATTTCACAAACCTGCATGTGTCATTTCATGTTTTTTTAGGGGTTTCTAATGTGTGTGTGTCTCTTTCTCTCTGTGTATGCTCTTCAGGGTGTTTTGGGAGGTCTGTGCAGTGGGAAGTCTGCTCTGGTTCACAGACATTTAACAGGAAGTTACCTGCAGCTGGAGAACGCTGAGGGTTTGTTTTATATGTTCTCACCTACGACCTTTACATGTTTTTTTTTCATGATACACAACTGTCAATTCACAAGATGGACCTTTTTCTTTTGTGTAAGCTAAGTTTGGGAAGCTGTTTTGTAATACTGTGTGGACACAGGGATTCTGACAAATGTACCCGCTTTCTGATTGATAAGCAACTGAACACCATGGAAGGTGAAAACTTCAGGGCGAGCTTTTCATATTTAAAGTTCCATCAACATAATTGATAACCAATGGACTATTGTATAAATCCATAGCTAATGTTAGCATTCAATAACTTCCACGTAACATTACAATTTGATAGTAGCCTACTAGAGGAAACAATAGGAACGATGCAATAGCATAGCCAACATTCATAAATGCATACATGCCTTACAGTCAGAAATAAGGGCTAGCTAATTGGTTGAATTCTTATATTAGCTGTAATCACTTACATAACGGGTTATAAATTAAATATGTTGTTTTACATTGAAATATAGCCTGATGATGCTGTGGATTTAGCTAACTATGTGTTTCCGATGTTCATCAATGGGAAGCTATAAAATTATAAAAACTGGTCTGGTCAGGGAGTGGAGCGTTTGAGTTTGCCCTGCGTGTGAAGATGGCTGCCCTACGCTGGTTCAGTGATCAACTTTAATACTGACTAAAAGATAATGAAGAGCCAGGTCATACCTTAAACGTTATAAATAACAATTCATGTGGTATACTGTGTGTACATACAGGGCGCCAGTACATCAAGGACGTCCTGGTAGATGGACAGAGCCACTTGCTGATTATCAGAGAAGAAACGGAACTCCCAGATGCTCAGGTTGGTTGAAAACTGATGTTGACAACTCGTTATACTTCATATTTGAATTAACTAACTAGTTGCTAACAGCGCTCTGCTTTGTCTTTTGATTGCTGCTTCTCCTCTTCTGTACAGTTTGCAACTTGGGTGGATGCAGTTATATTAGTCTTCAGTTTGGAAAACGAGTCCAGCTTCCAGGAAGTTTACAAAATCTACCACCAGCTTGCCATCCACCGACCTGTATCGGAGATAGCTTTCATAGTAGTTGGCACTCAGGGTAAGACTCACGCACACAAGATGAACTGTGAGTCAAATAATAGCAGAGGTAGACTTGTATTGTTTTGTGTATTTTCCAGATAAGATCAGCAGCACCAACCCCAGAGTAATCGATGATGCCAGGGCCCGGCAGCTCTGCTCAGATGTTCGGCGCTGCACATACTATGAAACCTGCGCCACATACGGGCTCAACGTGAACAGAGTCTTTACCGATGGTATGTATCAGGATGCTTCTGATGAAGTTTCAGGAATAAGAATGATATGTGCCTGCTTATGTTTGTTGTTTTTGTTCCACAGCTGCTCAGAAAATCATGGCAGCCAAGAAGCAAGCTGCTCTACTGGCGTCCTGTAAATCTCTCCCTAACTCTCCAAGTCACTCTGGAGGCTCCACCCCAGTGTCTGGTGTGTTTCCAGGACAGGTAAAACTGTTCCAAACTGTCTAAAAATGGTACTGAGCTGCACCACTTCATGTGTTGAATGTATTGTTTATTTCAGGGTTGCTGTCAGGCTATTTTCGAGAATACAGTTGGAACAAACTCAATTATCTCCCTTTTCTGCTCAATTATCGCTTCATCGCCCCCTCTCTCTCCGGCTCCTTCCTCTCGTCAGGCCAGTAACGGTGGTCAGAGCAGTGATTACTCCTCATCACTTCCCTCTACTCCTGTGATCAGCCATAAAGACATCGGCAAGGCAGCCAGAGGCGAAAGACAGGAAGGTGCCACGCCTGGGTCAGTCCGCAGCACCACACGGAGACGCACGCCCAGATTTGCGGTACATACTGGTCAAGTTATCCATATGAAGCAACTCAAGCAAACCTGTTTATGAACCCTTTTATTTTTTTATACTTTTAGCTTTTCCTCTTTTTCTGTTTTTTTTTTTTTTTTAAAGTCATAAAACTTGAAGTACTTGTCAGGATTATAGGCACTTAAAGACAAACTATGGTCTAATGTAAGAAACCCCAGGGTAGCACTATAGTATAAGTATAAAATGTTACTTCTTCACTCAATTTTATGGCCATTCCCTGTGCACTATAATTTGGGTTTGACTTAATTCGTCAGGAAAGTAAAAACATTTTCTTCCAGGTAAGCTTGTGTTGGGTAGATGCTTTTTATCCTGAATGTTTTTAAGATACAGTAACTAGAATCTCTTCAGTGTTTGAAAACCCTAAAACCTGAAGCATTAAACAACCATATGTATGAATAATTTGACCATTATATGGTTTGGCATATAAGTGGAACTGCTGAGACCAACGGGATGTGTTATGGGAAAAAATATTGAATGCTTTATAAAGAGCTGTAATATAAGGCAGGCTGAACATAAAAGTAATAAACTTCTTTTTACTAGTCGTTCACTTTTACAGTAGGCAAAAAATCATTCCTCAGTCATTTTAATGGCTTTTTAAATCATTTGATTGTACCTAAATGATATCTTCATATACAAATCTTGCCATTGTTTTCTCAACTGTCTAGGGTCGCAGAGGCAGCGACTCAAACAGAAGGAGTGCAGACTTTAAGGGCGATCTTGGCAGTGGGCGCTGCATTCCCATCAAACAGGTAATATGCAGGTTTAAACATAATGTAGAAACAAATATGATGTAGGAAATAACCCTGTACAGAGGACATCACATCAGTAGTCTCTTGAAATCAAATTTGTAAAGGCTGTTACATCCTGTGGAGAGATGAAGTGTTTAGATCTCCCATATTGGCCTGATGAAAAGGAGAGTGGGCGTTTTTTTGGCAGCCGGCAGTTATCATGCTGCCGAAATGTGCAAGATGAACACTCCAGACATTTACAATAAATTCTCACTCTTCATGTTTTATCATCTTCATCAGGGCATCTTGCTGAAGCGCAGTGGGAACTCGCTCAACAAAGAGTGGAAGAGGAAGTATGTGACGCTGTCCAACGATGGCATACTGTCCTATCACTCCAGTGTCAATGTGAGTCACTGTGTTTGCACAGAGCTGTGGAGCAGAATGCTGCTGGAATCACCTCTGATGGAGAGGTGGATTGTTACAGCTGATGTTTTTTTCTTGGCAGGACTACATGCTGAACACCCCAGGGAAAGAGATGGACCTGCTGCGAGTAACAGTAAAGGTACCAGGAAAGAGACCGCCTCGTGCCGTACCCGCTGCACCCACCGGTGGCCTCCAAGTCGGGCTCAACGGGCGGGTTAAAGATGTGCCAGGACCAGATGGCCTCAGCCCAGGTCAAATAAAAAAAACATTTTTGTTTTGAATTTAAAGGCTTTATATGCGGCTATATAAGGCTTTATTTTCCAGCAGATGTCTCCCTTGAGCACCAGCATGAAACCAAAACAACTCAGGGTGCATTGTTGTGTCAGCATGCTAATGCTAGCGATCTTTATTATGCTCGTATCTTTATACTGCATGTAAATTTACCCGAAATGAGCGTGATCTAGAAACACAGTTAAGCAGTGAGTACAGTATGCTATTCTTCTTTTCTCTAGTCCCTCAAGTAAACAACTTTCATACGCGAGGGGATGAGTCGGAAGGCCGTCCTAGCGATGTAAACAAAGTGAAGATAGGACTCTGAAAACTCAGAAAGCATCACAGACAGTGGGACTCGGGTGTTACACCCATTGTAGACAGTCATGACTCACAGAGTTATTTTGAGAGGATATACTTGATTTCTATTATATTTTAGTGTGAAAAATCACATATTAAGCCTTTAAGTGAAACCTTACCCCAATTATGTATGTTTGCATAATAATGATACAAAATATAATCTGAGTTGTATTTCTTAAACTTAAGGAATAGCAAAATACTATGGAGTGAAGTTGAGCTGGGGAAGCATTACTGCAGTTGATGCACTGATTCTTTTATTCCAAGAGTTAAAAAATCAGAGGGGTCAAGTATCTGCACCACAGAGGACAAAAAGTTGCAAGAGAAGCAAATCTCTGCAAGAGAACAAAAGAGCACCCTAAGGGATTTTACAAGTTTTACAAGAGCTTGTGAAAGACTTCAGGACTTCTTCAGTCAGACTCTGCATCTTTAGTTTCCTCTGGTGTTCATGCTGATTCTGTTTTCAAAAATATCAATAGCTCTGTTTTACATTCCATGTTTATCCATTAATAACTTTACACTTGCTATCATCTCTTTAGTGCCTGTATGTGCCAGCAGTCTACTGCAGGTGGAGGAGATGGAAGGGCTGGGGGGTGCACTGTTCCTGAGGAGTAACAGAGGAGTGCAGCGATGCCCCTCTACACTGTCCAACCACGCTCAAAGTGTTGGTGAGGAAGGAACCTTTAGTAGTGCATATATTTATCTTATAACTCATTCAAGCAAAACTAAATTTGACCTTTTCTTTTGTTATCAGACTCTGCAGTCGAGGGTGTCTCCAGCTCCTCCTCCACCAAAGACTTTGGCTCCTCCTCTCCAGTGACAGACAGAAAGAAGCACCGCAGAAAGAAGAGTATGAACATGAAAGGAGATGCAACACTTGGGCAAGCAGACGGTAAACACTAAACTCAACAATAAAAAAAATCAATAATAAAATCAACAGTCATTTGATAGTTTTTTTTTTTTGTTTTTTTTTTTTAAAGTACCAGTCATTATTTAAAATTGTTATATCAGGGTGAACAATTGTTTCAAAATGTAATGCTTCTCTTTTTTCTCTGTTTTCTGTCTTCTCATACAGCCAAGCGCAAAATGTGGAAACTTAAAAGCCTCGGTAGCTTAAGAAACGTGAGCAAAACAGGTAATGTTGATCTTTCACATTGCTTTCTATTCAAATCTATCTGAGCCACTTTTCCTGTGCTTTACCAAAGGACACTTGACTTTGTCAAAATGTTTTTGAAAAAGGGTTTACTTGAAACTTTTCTTATTATACTCATTCCACAAAGCTGTTTTTTTTTACCTACATGTTCGTTAAACAAAGCATGAAGGTCAAATTTGTGGTTATAATACAACTGATATCCAACATGTTCAGGCTTTGATGTCATTCTACTCTGACGCTTGCAAATGAAGACATTCACGTTAACAGAATATTGCTGATGTATTGCTGAGCGGAACATTTCTGCTACTGTTTGCTTTTAGAAACAAATATTATTCAAGACAGGAATGATGTGGAAAGAGTGTGGGTGGATAGCATGTTCACGGCTTGTAGTTACAGCAGTGATCAGTGTGTTGAGGACTGTAACCTCTGTGCATGGGGCTCCTGCTCAGCCAACTGTGCTAAAGCAGCTCCTCCTGCTTAAACTTTTAAAGTGGACAGAATGTGATCTAATGAAACACAAAAATTCTTCATTTTGTTCCTGTGTCAGATGAGGATAACTATGATTTCCTTGTGGTGTCGAGCACTGGCCAAACGTGGCACTTTGAAGCCCAGAGTGTAGAGGAGAGGGACTCCTGGGTCCAAGCCATCGAGAGCCAGATCCTGGCTAGCCTGCAGCTGTGTGAGAGCAACAAAAACAAGGCAAGAATGAAAAAAAAAAACACCACACAGTATTCTTTATATACAGCATTTAGCAATGATCAGTCATTTTTCATCCTTTGCTCTAAATGACTGACTTTAATTATGTCTATACTGGGTTTGTAATGCCCTAATTCATCATATTTAGCTGCCACTTCTGCCATAGAATGAGCGTTAACCATGACAAGGATCTATTTGTATTAGAGAAAAGGAAAAGCAAAAAGCATTGAATGAGTGTATCACTAATACAAAAAGGCCCCATGAGATCTTAAACTGACTACGAGTCATTGGAGACAAAAGAGCTGTTTTTTTTTTGTAAATATAATGAAGCCACCAAAAGAAAAACCATATGACTTTAATGCGTCACATCTTATATTTCCTCAGATTCCCTCCAGCATTAAGAAGACGCAGATGATTCATATTTAGCATATTTATTTTCTGTAATAAAATTCTAAATCTGTATCTTCTAAGCTCATTCTCTGTGTGAAGCAATAGTGTTATATTCCTTTTATGCAGCTATCATTTAACTGACAAAAGACAAAACCATATGAATATTATAATGAAGTGCTGTCTCACTTCATCTCAAAGAACATAACAGGCCTTTTCTTTTTCTTTTTTTTTACCAAAGCACTTATACAGCTGCATGTTTGTGTGTTTACTACAGATCAGGTGGTGTTGCGCGATACTGGACTGAAACAACATTTGTGTTTTCACCTGCTGATATTAGTTACAGAACAGTTCTTAGGACTTTTATTGGCGGAGAATCAGAGAAAGCAATGCAGTGAGATTGTTTGTATAGTTCACAGAACACTGTCTGCAGAATGAGATGAACCACGTCAGAGATTAAAGCAAAATATCAAACACAATATTTCTTCTGTTTGACTTGTGAACTGCTGGAACTGATTGTTGCTGTACTCAGTTTAGTGGAAAGGGCTGCATAGTTTGGCTGCAATGTTTGGATATAAGAAACTATTATTACTTGAAGGGAATTTAACTTATTTTAGTAAAGAAAGTACAAGAAAGTAACCACTGGGCATAATTTACTGAAATGGATTTTCAAATTAAAAGGGGACTTTATCCTCCCTTGGTAGTACATTTAGAGGCCTGTATAATCATATTTTTGTGATGTGTATTTGCATCGTGGGACTCCAGTGTAAGAGCCATTTTCTCTTAGGAAAAGTTGACATTGACTCACTTCTCATCTCATTAGAAAACAGATCCTGCTGCTGCTTCAATTATGAGACCGACCATTACCAAAAACCTGCCACATCTCCAGACTTGTACTGTCAAGGCTGTCTAAAAATAGGCTGTGCTAGTTTCTGTTCGTTGTGTGAAATTACTTCAATTATAGCCCAAAAATAATATGTTCAATTAATATAATGATTCTAAATGATAACTTTAATCACATGATGCATTGCTTTATGAGTGTTAATTGTGCGTCTACAGAGGCCAAACCAATAATTGAAAGATTTAAATGGTCATACTAATTATAGCCATCTACCACAGGCTGTTCACTAGAATCATAATAATAGTTATCAATGAGAGCAGCTGGAAGCGATAATATCACAGTGTTAGTTTGCTGGTGTTTCTCTTGTTTTAACCGTGCACTGTCTGTGTTTGTTTTCAACAGGCGCGCAAAAACAGCCAGAGTGAAGCGGTGGCGCTGCAAGCGATCCGCAACGCAAAGGGCAACAACTTCTGTGTTGACTGCGACGCTCCGAGTTAGTGACACACATCCATCTCTTCTTTAGCTCTTTGTGCATGTGCAGATCCGAGTCTGGTTTTGGTTGATTACTCATCTCGTCTCATTTGAAGCCTACATGTGTGAAGTACATGTGTCATCACCACTCCACCCCCGCACACTTGTCATTTGCTCCTTGCTCTCTCTCTTTTTCTTTTTCCATTTCAAAGTCTGTGATGTTCTAATATTATCACCCAGGTTTCATTAGAAAACGAGATTTGGTTATGTTAAGATGTTTTTTCTGGGTATGGCAAGAAACTGAGTTGCATGAATTCTGAGACAGCTCACTCATTTAACATTTAACATTTAACATGTATATCTTTAACTGTCAAAAGAAGACTTCCTTTGACATTATGATGACAATTGTTAGATCCTGAGTTTCCACTGTACAGGAGGTACTGGTGCCAGCTCTCCGTCAAAGGGTCTGGTTACCAATTCTTTGCCGTGGTAACCCAGTCAAGGCCAAATGACTGTTTAAGCTCATGACAAACAGACACACCTAGGTTCTAACTGCCTTTATCCAGACGCCTACCCAGCTTGACCCGATACAGCACCTGATTGAATAGCCCTGAATCAGATACTGTAGTCGGCCACGCCTGTTAACGGCAGCTCTCCTCTTATTGTTTTGATTTCTTAGGATAGAGCAGCCTATAGGAACCTTTTGTAGAAGTCGTCACACACTATACCTTTAAGAACATTCCTGTTAAGAAGGTTAAAAAACCAATGGCCACAATTTACACTTTAGTTGCAGATGTTGTACTTTATTGCAGAACATACTTTTTTTTTGTAAGTAATATGCTGAAAATTCACTTATGAATTAAGAGTGGCAAAATAAATATCAATTTTTTGGTGTCTCATGAGTTTGAGGACATTTCTAGCGTGGAAAAAAGGAATGTCACTTTAACGTAGATTGTTTTAATGTTGTGTTATTGATATTGATAGTGTGCTGAGCAAGTTGAAATTAGTCACAGACTACAAGTCTACAAACAAGATGAACTCACATAAATGTTTTACTGAATCTGATTCATGTTGCATTAAAAAAAAATTGGTTTCGTTTCCTTAACCTGAAAAATCTGACAAGCCACTGTCCCTGTTCATTACAAGCCAAATGAAACAATTAGAGACTTTCTCACATATCAAGCAATGAGCTGCAAAGATAAACATAATGAACCCTTGTTCTCAGACATGAGGTCAGCAAAATCAGTGTCTTAGAAATCTTTAAACCAAACCAAAATAAGTGCTGAATATTCCTCAAATGTTGGAACCCTTTAAAGGTACAGAGTTTAAGAAGAAGAGACTGTCTGGGACATTAGCTACAGATTTAACAGCTTAATGCACCAGACTGGAAATATTAAATGGCATAGAATATATACAAATTGTTCAAATCTATCAACCATAATGCACATAGTTCAGTATCAAGTGAACCATAGCCTGATTAATTGTGTTCTTCTCTAAGATCCAACATGGGCCAGTCTGAACCTGGGTGCTCTCATATGCATCGAGTGCTCAGGGATCCACAGAAACTTGGGGACTCACCTGTCACGTGTCCGCTCGCTGGACCTCGATGATCTGCCACGAGAGCTCACGCTTGTTCTCAGTGCCATCGGCAACCACATGGTGAACAGTATATGGGAGGCACGCACACTGGGCCATCGTAAACCTGCACCTGATGCCACACGGTAAAGTTTGTGACAAATAGAAACAAGGCTCAAGTTAATGGTTGCTACAAATAAGCTGCAGATTTTTAGTTTTTTTCCCATAACTTTAAAATGTTCAGGACTAAATTCTTTGTCAAGATGAAAGACTACAAACTTCAAATGTGCTTGACTGAATATTCATCATGTCTCTCTGCTTTCTCTGCTTGCTCAGTGAGGAGCGGGAGTCTTGGATCAGGGCCAAATATGAGCAGAAACTCTTTGTGGCGTCGTTGCCTCCTCCCACTCCTGGCGAGGGTCCAGACATCACACTCTCTGGCCGTCTTCTTTTGGCAGTGATGGAGCACAACCTCCCCAAGCTGCTGCTCCTTTTGGCCCACTGCACTAAGGAGGACATGAACGCCCCCCCTCAGCCTGGCCATCTCCTCCAGGTCGCTCATGGCGCTGCGACTGCCCGCCTCGGCTCTGCATGCAGCCTGTCAGCAGGGTGACGTGGTGATGACACAGCTGCTAGTTTGGGTGTGTTTTTTTTTTTTTTACTGTCTCTGATGTAGAAATGATTCAAACTTTTGTTAAGGAGGCTGGCTTCATATCAGCGAATACATTCAAATTAGGAGTAAAGATGATGTTAGAGTAAAAGTGTAGTACAGTGTAGACAAGGTGTGAAATTAATCCTTAAATATCCAATATCATGTTTGTGCTGCAAAACCTGCAAACAATCATTTCACCCTGCAAGGACGTCTTAGTTATTACCTTAGCAAATAACAAAAAGTGTTAAAAAGTGATGACTCAGCATACAAATCAATGTTTATCTATGTGTGAAAGGCACTAAAGCTCACACTTTATTGGGATGATTTCAGAGTCCTATCAGGTAAATGTTTTTTTCTAACATTGTGTAAAACTTCAATTTATAACCCAGGCTTTGATTTAATTCAGTATATGGAATGACCCTGCCTTTATTTAGGACAAGCATCAATTCCAGACAGGCCTTTAAATATTTTCAAACCAAAATCATGCACAGCAAAGATTGGGAGGAGTATAATGTTTTTTAAATGTAAACCAGAAAGAATATTGAAGTGTACACAATTGGAATATTGTTAAACATGAAATTTGAAATCACTCTATTGATCTTGCTTTAGAAGACAGCATCTATGACAACTGGCCATACTTCTTTTTCTATTAGATCTGCAAACTATTTCAACAATAGGCCTCTAATTGAGACCTGCATTTATTCATCAAAACTTGAAGCAACACCAGGCTAGTGAAAGGCAATGGGCCTTAAAAATGGGATGGTATTTCATTTGAAGTGTTATGGTGGATTAAACCTTTTTAAAATGTGAAGAGATAATCAAATATGTTGTTTTAAAACACTCTTAGATTTAACCAGATCATTTATGACAAAAAAATAAGCAAAAAAAACATCTGGACATTTACAATATTCAAATACCTCAAAGTATATATTATGTATCAGAGGACCTTTACTCTATGCAGTACTACTTATTTTGTACTCACGTCTCCACAATTGAGTGTACAGCATAAGAAAGGAAAATTACATTTTATATATTGAGAATGAGCAGGTTGGGCCGCCAAACAAGGTTTTTATTTCTACAAACACCCTCGCCATGTCTATCTTGCATTATTTCTCAATCTTAGCAACAAAGATTGTTTAGCTCTCAAATGATTTGAACTGTTTTAATCGTGATCATTTCTCTAATTGTTCGATTCCCTTGTAGGTAAAGTTTTGAAATGATGGTTTGAGGACCACCACATTTTGCTTGCACAGTTCATTGTATTATCCCACTTGGCTCCATGTTTGTATCATTACTCACAGTTTTCTTTTAAACAGAAATCTAATCTGGTTTTATTTTACCTCAGTACGGCTGTGATGTTCGATACCGGGACGCTCAGGGGCAGACGGCGCTGGTTCATGCTCGCGGCGCCGGCAGTCAGGAGTGTGTCGACATCTTGCTGCAGCATGGATGTCCTAATGAACTCTCCCCCTCTGTCGCCTCAGCGGTCAGCTTTGCAGCTGCTACAACATCCAGCTTCCCTGTTGCCATGACACCGAGCCTGACAGTTGCCACTACACTGAGGATCTCGCACAGGAGCGGCGGCACCAGCTTGAGCTACAGCACCACTAGAAGAGCGGTGTCATAATGAGGATGCAGGGTGGTGAAGTGTGTGTGTGTGTGTGTGTGTGTGTGTGTGTGTGTGTGTGTGTGTGTGTGTGTGTGTGTGTGTGTGTGTGTGTGTGTGTGTGTGTGTGTGTGTGTGTGTGTGTGTGTGTGTGTGTGTGTGTGTGTGTGTGTGTGTGTGTGTGTGTGTGTGTGTGTGTGTGTGTGTATCGCTGCTTGAGAATGATTGAACCAAAAAAAAAATAGTTTTCCTGAATACACTTTCTATACAGAGACAAAGAGAAAAGGAACATTACATCCAGATGCCTCTGCATTCAGATTTGAAAGGAATGTATTGCACTGTATACCAGCTGGTATGATTTATATTTCATCATGCAGTCTTCTTCAGTCTCCTCTTATTTAAGAACAGGACTTTGCTTTCGGCCTCAAACAGCATAGCTGAACATCTCCGGGTCAGAAGAAAAGAACTGCGATAAGTTTACAAATTAAACTTTCAAGTCCGTCTCTATCTGCCTAAAAATTCGGACATAAAAAAAAAAAAAAAAAAAAAAAAAAACCCGTCCACACTTCCTTATTCTACGGACAGTGAATGTCAGTTTAACATTCAGAGTGCATATACTGTGTTAGGGGCTCAGCACAGCTGGTCGTTCAGTGCTTCAATTTATGTTGTGTGTGTTGAGAGAAAAAAAAAACCTTTACAGTGGCTAAAAAAAGAGGGTCTGTTTTAAAGATAATCAGAATAACTGTATAGAAATGGTCTGATAAAATATAATTCTAAAACATTAAAAGTGCTTCATTTTAAAGATTGTTATTGTATGATTTGTACAGCTGTTTCTGTGTATAAAACTCAAAGAGGTACTCATGAGCTGTGCAGCCTCTCGGTTTCCTTTAATAACTGCCTGTTTAACTCTGACATCCAGGATGGAGATTTCTATGTTTGTTTCTCTGTGTGTGACATGAACACTGTACATGAGGCGTCCAGCAGCAGCAGCAGCAGCTCATGATCAAGGCGAGTGTAATACTAGATGTGCAACAGAACAAGTGCAATGCCTTGATTTTGATTGAATGTATACAAAAAACAGATGGTTTGAGCTCTTTATGTCAGATACTAATGTATTTTAGAGATATATTCTGGTTTGATGAACTGTTTGGGGATTTTTTTTTTTACTAATTTTATCCCTCCTGTGACTAATTAAATAGTATGGTTAAAGAAGTTAAAACTTGGCATAGGTTCTGAGCTATAAAACGGGGCCTTTGAGAAAAAAGTCTTAAAAAACAACCCTCCTGCAGTAATGTATGTATTTTTGTGTTAATCTTATAACTCCGCTGAGTGTACATGTCTGTGATGTAAACATCTCTCTCCATTTGTATTTTTTTACTCATGCAATGATTCATAGAGCATTCATTATCAATACACTGAGGCTACTGTCCAAGCTGTGCCATTATCTTCTGAGTGTGCTTTTCTCTTTCTGAACCCACGGCAGACCTTAATTCAAAATGTGGAAGCGTTCATTATTACCATTTCTGTTATTTGAACAATAGTTCATGAGGGTGAGCGAGACCTCAGCATGCGGCGCATAGTTGCATGTTGGTGCACAGAGGCTTTATGTTTCAAGGTGGATCCTGCAGGCAGTACCATCGCTTAACACTCGACGAGCGTACCAATGTGAGATCTTCTGGATCAGACCAGTTTTTGTCAAAAGCCCCTTCTAGCTTTGACCTAGTTCTTTCTAGGTTGAAGTAATACATGTTTTTCATCCATTCAACCACTGTTGAGGTGGTTCAAGTTTCATGCATTCACATATTTTTTTAAGAGACAAAAGACACAAAACAATATTAAAAGACAACCTACACACTGATGCTAATATGGGAATGTTTTAGATTTATAGAGCTCAATCTCAAAAAATAAAAAGTAGGTATCAGGATATAGCAACAGGGCATCCATAAACACCATAAGGCGAACATTTCTTTGTTGTTTTAAAAGATATCTGTGCTTCCAAAAAGGCTGATCTCAGTGGCTTGTTGTATTTTTAGACTTTATACACAAGGTGTTTTCGTGTCCCCTTCTTTGCCTGTTTGTTCACTCAGCTATTAAAATCTAAATCCTCATGATAATCTTAGAGAGTCAGGAATTTGTGCCAGGATGGCTGGGACACAAGACAGGGGCTAAATAAGGACAAATATTAAATATGCTTTAACACTCTGATCTTTGTCAATATTTAGTTTCTTTCTTAAAGGTACATACTATTTGTATGTGATTCATACCATTCAGAGGCTTGACAAGTGATAAACTACATGAGGCTGGCTCCATGCTTAAACATTCATCATGAAAGCTTTTTAAAGAGCTCACTGTTTAATATTGATTGAGCTTTGGTGCCTTTCAGATGATGCAAGCTTGTGTAGCATCCACCGGAGCTCACGAATCACTGCAACGCTAAATGCCAAATGTAGAACAAAAACAACAAAAACTAAACACCCAAAGAGAGAGGTGTTGCTCTTCAGTAGAGAGAGACACATAAACAGGAGGACTATTTTACAGACATATTTACAGATCAAAGTACATCTGTGCTGGTGAGGAAAACAAATTGTTAAATTGTTGACAGACAGCAGTCTCTCCATTAAACTAGCCAGTCAATTTGTTTACTCTTTGTGAAAATAGGTTTAATAGAACATTACAATATACAGTATATACAGTCAGTGATAAACCTGGTGATGTAAGTTTTATTACATGCTTGATTTTTTATATATTTCATTTTAATTCTAAAACACTTATACAAGCAGCTGTTAGCGTGGAGGTAGTATTTATCATCTGGTTCTCATTCACATATCTATATTTATTTATATTTATTTATATTTATTGTTGATCTGATTTTTGGTCAGATTGAAATTTTGCACGTTTTTTTCCTAAATTTGTTTATTATAGGGAAGTATCTTCACTGTCAGGAAAAGAGGGAGAGAATATTATGTCAAGATGTTTGATGACATCACCTCATTTAGTCCTGTATCTTGGGCCTCTACTCAAAGTTAAAGCTGAAGAAAACCCTATAACAACAGATTGCAAAGAAGACTTTCCTTAATATGCAAATTCCAATTCTTAATTCAAGATAAATCAACTGTTCATCCGTCAATAAACCGGAACAGGCGTTTAAATTTAATTCTGATCATTCTTAAATTAACAGTAACATTTCAATGCTTGTCAATGTTGATTTGAGATATATTCAAATAATGACCTGGGTCGAATCCTTTGATTAGGCAAAGATCTTTGTGATGAACTCACGGAAACGTTTGGCATACTGCTCAGGGTGCACTGTTGAGATTTCTGCTCCTCCCTGCAACACACATACACATGCACACACACACACACACACACACACACACACACACACACACACACACACACACACACACACACACACGCACACACACACACAGTGGATGAGAGATAACTGAACAGAAAATGAAAGCGCCCCAATACACTTTGAACAATAGAGATCTAAAGACAGCATATGCTAACAACCCCTTTATAGAGCGCCGGTCTCTTACCCCATGTTTGACAGCTTTGGCAGCGTGAGCGGCTTTCTTCTTGGTGTCGTACTGTGTTAGCACATCAATCAGGCCCATAAAATACACCTCCCTGTGGGGGGCACCTGGAGGGATTCACAGCACCATATGAGTGATATTAATCCGGGCATATGATTGTATCTTGCATGACATGGTATTTGGGTGTTTTACATCAGATGGACTCACCTAGAGCACACTGGATAGCATACACATCGATGTAAGGGTCAAACTCCCCAGGACCCATGGGTTTAAAGGAGTTCATGTAGCTGCTGATGCCCTCAGGAGAGATGGAGCCTGAAGCTGGAACCAGGCCATTTTCATCTTCTTCTTCATCTTCGTCAGTTGACTCCATGTCTTCCTCCTCCTCCTCCCTCTCAGCCCGCTCGACGTCATGAATGCCGAGCAGCAGGCTGTAGTCCATGATCCTCATACGCACCAGAAACTGAAGCAAGATGACACAAACATTACATCCCAAACAAAACAATAGCCACATGCTTCATTAAGGGGGTTTCCTTTGTGGTGGTTTCCTTACTTCAATATCTCTGTTGAGTTTGTCCATAATCTTCTCCTTCTCCTCATCACTCACATAAACTTTTTGCATGTTATTCCTGAAATCGACATCTTTGTATGTAGGTAACTCCTTCACCTGGAGACACAAAGTGAAGCTCAGCTGCTGTGAATGTGCATATAGGATGGAAACTAGATTATTCAAAAGCATTCAAACACAACCAGCCATCCAATTTCTAGATTCACAAAAGTCCATTTATATTGCCCCAAATATTGTATTCCAAATCAACACAGCTGGAGGGATTAAAGGCATTTCTGCAGTTATTTCGCTTCGTTTGAGTCAGAATCACTCCAGAGGGGTTGCTTAGCGATTTTTATTTTATAACTGTTCTGACAATGTAATTTCCTAATTTGCCGCAATGCTCAAACAGAAGTTAAATACAATATGGTCAATGTGATTGGATGACTCTGAGTGCTGGCACAGCTGCAGCTAACTGAAACTCGTTAAGTGGTCCTTGTTGAGAGAACAGCACAAAGAGATAAGGTATGCTGAGTTCCTCCGGGTTCATAAAAATTACTCACTTTTCCTTGAATTCTGGGTAAGAGAACTTCCCTTGACAAAATTCCTCCATTCAAAAAAACCTTGTAATGTCACAAGCACACACATCCCCACTAAGTACATTACCATGGCAACTTCAACACCTTAGTTGCCTGTCTCTGCTCCTGGGGTCAGTTATTGTATTAACAGTATACAGGCTATTTTTTATGAGTCATTGATTTAAAGGTTATTATTATGAAAGTATTATTCATTATTGATAAGTGAAAAGTAAACTAAGTGAAATGATTTACAGGTAATCCTGCATGTCAACATCCAATAAATGATAAACTGTTGTTCCCTGCACACTTTTTTTTTTGTCCTTTTTTTGCTTCCCACAGTTAAAAACATACGTTACATGACAAGTCTACTATGAAGGGAACTAAAAGGCTCATAAAATGCACCCATGGACTTCATTTCACAATGTCTGAA